CCCTGGCCAACAGTTCAAATACTTTTATATCACCTGGATTCTTTCAAGGCTTATTTTGAAGCTTTGTATGGGTGTATCACCGCCTGGAAGAGTGTGATCTTGGCTTGAAAGCTTGAGCTAATCTTGAAGTACTCCAGGCCTGGTTCAGTCCTTTTATTAAGGCATTATCCTTGTAGGATCTCTACTGGCTGCCTCAGGTGTTCAGTGAGGATTCCATTATAGCTGGCCAGGACATGAACGTCTCCTAGCTCTGTGTGAGCTCTGGGAATTACTCAGCTTACAGCTTCCTACTTGTTCTTTGCCTGGCTTGATTCTGCCAGGAACAAACTCAGGAGGACCCGTTATGGAGATTTCTAGAGCTTTTTCTCTGTGCAGCTTCTGGCTTTCTAGGCTTCTGCTACCCAAATCCCAGCTCCCTCTGCCTCCTTGAACTCAAATCTCTGTGTCCTCATCTGAGAGCCTGCTGTGGTCTGTTTGGGTGCCTCCTCCCCTGCACTGGGGCCTGGAAAGTGCCTCCAGTTAGAAAGTCAGGGCCATATAGGCCTCACCTGATGTATTTCCTCTTTCCCAGGGATCACGGGTCTGCCCTGCCTGTTGTCCAAGGTCTGAGAACATTTTGTCATATATTCTGTCTAGTTTGATAGTTTTTACAGTGAATCCAATAAGTCAGTCCAGTCCTAGAAACTGCATCACGGCCAGAAGAGGAAACTCAGTATAGTTTTAATGTGTGTTTCTTTTAATATGAGTGCACTCGAAGTTTGGGGCTTCTCATTGTCGTGGCTTCTCTTGTTGCAGAGCACGGGCTCTAGGCGCGCGGGCTTCAGTAGTTGTGGCTCACGGGCTCTAGGGCGCAAGCTCAGTAGCTGTGGCGCATGGGCTTGGTTGCTCCGCAGCATGTGGGATCTTCCCAGGCTAGGGTACGAACCTATGTCCCCTGCACTGGCAGGCGGACTCCTAAACTTGCACCCCCAGGGAAGCCCTCTCATCCTTTAAGAATGGGAGTTTTTAATTGCAGTTATTCTGTCCCTGTTCCACTGTTGTAAATTGAGTATGTGCTAGGGGTAAGGAAAGGGGAGCAGATAACCTGTTTTTTAGTTCATAGTTTGTTGGACCCAAAGGAATCCCATCCAGACCTGCTGGAGATGACTGTCCATCATCCAGAGATCCTGGACTTTGTGCCGAATGTAGGAATTGGATTGGACTCTGGGTTCTCTCTTGGGGAAGAAGTAAACCTATTTCATGCATGGGACAGATGGGAAGAACTGTGGCAGAGAATACTAGATTTCTCTAACGCATTCTCCCTTCTTTCATGTATCCAGCTTTATTACATTTCTCAGCCTCCCTTGCAGTTAAATGTGGTCCTATGATTAAGTTCCCTCCAAAAGAAGGTAAGCAGAAGTTTGTATGCATCTCACAGTTCTAGCCCATAAAACCTTCCACAAACATTTCTCCATGGCCAGAGTGACTTTGAAAACCATATGTTGAAGATGACAGAGCTAGTGTCAGTCTGGGTCTCTGAATGACTGCATTTGAATACAGAAAACTTCTATTTTGTTTGGGCCATTACATGTTGGGCCTATGGTAGCACTTTAGCCTCCTCTGACTAGTACATTTGGTCCTTCCTATTATGACACAAAACCCCAAAGTCATAAAGGAAAAGATTGACATAGTTCACTATATAAAAATGTAAGACTTCTCTATGGGAAAAGTAAGATAAACAAAGTTAAAATAGACATGAAGAAAATGTTTGCACAAGCACTATTTACAACAGCCAGGACAGCCAACCTAAATGTCCATAGACAGATGAATAGATAAAGAAGATGTGGTACATATAGACAATGGATTACTACTCAGCCATAAAAAAGAATGAAATAATGCCATTTGCAGCAACACGGATGGACCTAGAGATGATCACACTAAGAGAAGTAAGCCAGAGAAAGGTAAATATCATATGATAACGCTTATGTGTAGAATCTAAAAAATGATATAAATGAACTTATATACAAAACAGAAATAAACACATAGACATAGAAAACACACTTATAGTTACCAAAGGGGAAAGGGAGGGAGGAATAAATTAGGAGTTGGGGATTAACATATACACACTACTATATATAAAACTGGTAAACAACAAGAACCTACTGTATAGCACAGGGAACTATACTCAATATTTTGTAATAACCTATAAGGGAAAAGAATCTGAAAAACGAATGTGTGTATATACACACACACACATGCACACACACACACACACATATATATAAACTGAATCACTTTGCTGTACACCTGAAACTAACACAACATTGTAAATCAACTATACTTCAGTTAAAGAAAATGTTTGCACAATATTTAGTAGGCAAGAGATTAAGATCTATTCTAAAGAGGGAGCTCATACACATTAATAAGAAAAAGATTAAAAATGGAAAAAGGATATGAACTAATAATTCATACAAAATGCAAATGGGTCATGTACATATAAAATTGTTCACTCTCAGGACTTCCCTGGTGGCGCAGTGGTTAAGAATCCGCCTGCCAATGCAGGGGACACAGGTTCGAGCCCTGGTCTGGGAAGATCCCACATGCCGCAGAGCAACTAAGCCTGTGCGCCACAACTACTGAGCCTGCACGCCACATCTACTGAAGCCCACACGCCTAGAGCCCGTGCTCCACAGCAGGAGAAGCCCTGCAATGGGGAGCCCGCGCACTGCAACAAAGAGTAGCCCCCCTCGCTGCAACTAGAGAAAAGCCCGTGCCCAGCAACGAAGACCCAGTGCAGCCATAAATAAATAAATTTATTTTAAAAAAAGTTCACTCTCACTAGTAATCAGAAAAATATAAATTTTCTTAAAGCAAAAGAAATATATTAATACCTTTCCTTTCTTTTAGTTATTTTTGACTAGAATAGTAGTTTTAGAGTGTACAAAGTGACAATCTGGTTTTCCCTTGTCAATTAATCTTTAAAATTTTCCCTAAAGGGAAAATGAGCTGGAAAAGGGGAAAAAAACCCTCAGAACCAGCTTTACATAAACAGCCATACAATTAAGATGCCAGCACCTATTAAACCCTAAAATAAAGAAATGACAAAGGATGGTATATGTCCCATATTAAGCAAAATGGTCTCTTTCAGACAGACAAAAACTCTCGTGATAGTTTCTTCCCTTTTTGTTTAAGGCACTTCTCAAATGAACGACCTTGTTCACGTCAAGTTCCCTGAAAGTGGCCATTGTGATTTCAAATTGTCCCTGGTGAAAAACTGTGCTGGTGAGCTATACATACTTCTTAATTTACAGTGAGAAAACATGAAGAAAGCAGGTATTTGACTAAGAAGAAGCAAGATTTTAGATAGAAAAGACCCCACAAAAACTGCCATGGTCCACAGGATGGTGCTCGTACAAACCTGGTACTTGGCCAAAGGCCAATTTTCACTAACAGGAGCCAAACAGATCTTGATTCTGGGCAAAGTAAGCCTCAAGGACACAGAGATAAGTCTTGGTCTCTCTTGTCCCCATCTTGGTCAATTTGGATTCTATTTCACAGAGCCTACACTGCTCCCAGACTTTACCACCAATTCCCAACACTTGCTCTCTATTGAAATGGGCAAACTCCAGGTTTCAGCTGCTGTTCTTAATATAGCTCACTGAAATATTGCAGGAATACCTGTTGACTATTTGCAGTTCTTTAATCTGTCAGATGCTTGTTGCTTCTGCTTCCTTTTACAGAATGGCTTGAGACCATGCTAGTTCTGTAACTGTTGGTGATTCCACCACCTGGGTTTGTTGTAGATGTCCATGGGTTTCAGCTTTGCAATCCTAGTTGCTCTGTTGTTGTTGTTTTTTTCAGTTATACATACATCTATCTATCTACACATATTCTTTTTCGGACTCTTTTCCATTATTGTAGGATACTACAAGATATTGCGTATAGTTGCCTGTGCGATACAGTAGGTCCTTGTTGTTTACCTATTTTATACATAGTAGTGTGTATCTGTTAATCTGAAACTTTTGATTTATCTCTCCCCTGCCCCCACCACCATCCCCTTTTGGTAAGTTTGTTTTTGTGTCTGTGAGTCTATTTCTGTTTTGTAAATAAGTTCATTTATATCATTTTTTAAGATTCTACATATAGGTGATATCATATGATACTTGTCTTTGGTTTACTCCACTTAATATGATAATCTCTAGGTCCCTCCATGTTGCTGCAAATGGCATAATTTCATTCTTTTTTATGGGTAATCATCCCAGTGACTGTAACTACCACACCTTCTTTATCCATTCATCTGTCGATGGACACTGGGTTGCTTCCATGTCTTGGCTATTGTAAATAGTGCTGCTGTGAACATTGGGGTACACGTATAGTTTTGAATTAGAGTTTTCTCCAGATACATGCCCAGGAGTGGGATTGCAGGATCATATGGTGCTCTGCGTGTTTTTTAGGAGGGATTTGGGGAGATACAAAAACTATGGCACTATCGTCACTACCTTCTCTTGTGTCCTTTCTTGAGAGCAAGGGAAACCTTCACAAAGATATCCTGATAGACTGCCCTACATATATCCTTCGCTAGAATTATAACACGTGCCCATGCATAAATAAACCCAGGGACGAGGATGGTGTTAGACCATGATCAGCATCAAGATTCACTTCCTGGAATTAGAACAGACAGAAATTCCCTGGTGGTCCCATGGTTAGGACTCTGTGCTTCCACTGCAGGGGGCCTGGGTTCAACCCCTGGTTGGGGAACTAAGATCCCCCAAGCCGCGTGGTGTGGCAAAAAACAAACAAAAGAAAAGAAAACAGACAAGGAAGAGCACATAGGCACATAAATGGTGAGAAACTGAATCTGAATGGGGCTCTGCCTGAAAGAAGCAAGGCAGCAGCAGTGGACAAGGCGACAGATTTGAGTATAAAACTAAGAGTGTTAAGAGCACCATTTTCCCAAATTGACAGCAATTCATAGAAATATATTTTACATCATTACTCTGCATACACATACACACATATTCAGGTAACAAACAAGTTTCACGAGACAATACTTACTATACAAGAAAATGAAACCTAGTAAATCCCAACCATAATTTTATTAATATTTAAATACAATATACAAAAAGTGCCTAAGAACGTACAAAAACAAAATTTCCTAACGATTGTTACGATTAATGTGGTGGGTGTGCTCGTCTGTTCATGAGTTCGTTCCAGTCAGGCACACATGAAGATAAGGCAACACGCGTGTCAGGTGCACTGTTGAGCTGATTTCTTTTCTTTGTTTTTAATCGTGTCAAGATCAAAAATCCTAGTTCACACAAATAGGTAGATGTGAATGGTAATAATAGCGATATACTCTTTCTACTTAGCAGTGGAAATTCATCTTTCATCTTAATCCAAAATGCTGATAAACTTAATGTCCTATAATAATTCCTCAGTGTGAATGACGAACTGAGCTGCAGTAATTCATTCTCTTCTTCAGGCACCAAGTGTAACTCAATTATTGATTCTGGGGTTTGATAAGCAAATGGATCTTTCATCCAAACAGCTTCCTTTAACAATGCAAATTTCTCTTCTGGAAAGTAACGATTGAAGGTTTGAGACAAAGAAGTGAGATGTACTAATATCTCTAATTTTATTTCTCTTAAGCAGTCTTCATGAATAACGTTCTCTTCAATGTGTTGCAACAGCGTTGGGAACATGTAGTAGCTGGGGCGATTACTTTTAAGTCTTACCTGCCTTAACAATAATGCCTTTTGGAATCCTTGAACGTGTTCAAGATATTGAAATATATCATTGTTTTTCCCTTGTAGCTTCGAATTTAATTCATTTAAAATGCCAAAAATGTCACTTAAATACGCCAATTTTGTTACCCAAATGTCATCTTCAAAAATATTTGCCAAATGCGATTGCTTTTCAATGAGAAAAATGTAAATCTCATTCCTGAGTTCGTATACTCTGCTCAATACTTTTCCTTGAGACAACCAACGAACTTCTGTATGAAACAATAAGTGGGTATGGTTCACTCCAATCTCTGAACACAATATTTCAAGAAGTCGGCTATTCGATGAGCTTCCTTTAATAAAATTAACAATTTTCACTGCATCTTTCAATACATCCATTAGGCTCGGTGGAATTTCTTTAGATACCAAAGCTTCTCGGCTGTAGCCGTGTCATAAGCATTGCTTCTAAATGTTTTGCAATAGTACAGATTCGACGAGATATTGTATTATCACTAAGAGGTATAGTTCTTAATTTATCAGCTGATGTATCATCAAAGATGGTACGTACCATATCCATACACGCTGGGAGAATAATTTTTTCAGCAGCCGTGTGAGCCATTTTCTCTTTTGCCACTCGATACGCCACTAGCTATGATGATATTAAGGCTCTCTCATTCATAGTTGTGGAACGACTAAGAAATTGGGGTGATAACTCTAGGCTATTTCTTTCTGTTTGAAAATGGTCTTCCTCATCTTCTTCCTCTTCCTCCTCCGCTTTCACTATCACTGCGCCTTCCATCTCCTGGGTAGCCCGGGGAGACAAATCTGTAGCATTGCCTGATTCAGCAGTCATTGTTCAGGTTCAAAGAACTGGCTCACTTGATCCAAACAGGGTCTGTCTGCAGGACTTTCCTTTTTGTCCTAGATGTTTTATGAGATCAGTTTTTGCTGTCCTGCAGGGTAGAAAAATTTAATAGCAGTATTAAAAGGTTAACACAGTGTTGCTATGCTGCTTACACCTCATCCATGAAGATAAGTCACTAAATCCAATGATGTGACATAGTAAATGCTGAGTGACTGCCATTCATGTTAGCTGTGCTCATTTAAGCTCAGCTCATTTAAGTCTCATGGAAGCCTAATGAAGTACACAATTATCATTCCTATTTTAAAAGCTGAGAAAGATTAAATAATGTGTCTAACAACATAGTGTAGTGGATCCAGTACTCAAACCCAAGTCTGAAGTCCAGGGTCCTAACTATGCTGCTACACTGCCATCTAGATACTCTTAAAAAGTGATCACCAAAGTACGGTGTACAAGACCATCCACTGGGGCACAGGGGAAAACAATTAAAACTTGTATTTATTTTTTAAAAACACTGAAACCCATTTAAGCTTTCCTGATAGCCATCTTATAGCATTTATATTCTGTCATCATTTGTGTTGCCGTTCTTATTTTCATCTTCCAACTATTTTATTTTCTTTGCTCATTTCCCTTCATTTTTAGTGATATATTGTCTGAAGATCTCATTCTTTCTCAGGTATTTTAAGATCAAGGAAAAGGAATCTTGGTTTTTGATATCTCATCAAAGATTTAAAGGTGGGGTATGGGGAATAACACATTCCTAGAGGCCTTCCCTACCACTGGCAGTATGAATCAAAATGAAGTGACTCCAAGGGAGTGAAACTCAAAGATACGGGGCTGAGGTCAGGACATGGACAGGCCCTTCTGGAGTGTTTTCCTGCTCATGTTCTAGGCAAGTAGCAGTAGAAAGACTGGGTTTTATTTTGCATTTCTTGAATGATTCCAGCACTCAGTCATCACTTGACTTCAAGCTCACTAGCTGTCTCCAGTTTGGTATGCAATATTTTGATAGTTCTTACCCTGAAATTTAATTTTTAATGCTTTCATGCCTTATTTCAACTAGACTACTCCTCAAGAATAAAGACTGTCTTTTACTTTGTGGCCCTTAAGTCACATGACATAGTTCGTTGCAACCAGGAGATTTTTTTTTTTTTTTTTTAACCAGGAGATATTTTAAAAAACATTTGTTTGAATGAATGCAATGTCAACATTTTTTGCCCATTTGGAGAAAGTTCAACAAATTCATTATAGGCCGGGTATGTCAATACTTGGAAGGGCATGTCATTTAGAAATTAAGAGATGCTACTCTATTGCAACTGTCAGGTTACTTATGAAGCATCTGAGTAAGATGGGAGGAATACTATAGCAGCACAGGTTTAAAATACATAAGTAAATAATGTGTCCATGGGTAAGTTACCTACGTCTCCCATTACACTATGTAACCAACCTATTTCTCCAGCAAATAGTGAGGAGGTTTCATTGATCTGCTTACAAGGTATTCTCCGCAACTTATTTATTGATTGCAAATGATCTGTGTATCACAGTCCTGTATAAGTGTTTTCTTTGGTCCTCTGCCACTTAACAGCCTCTCTCAATAATGACAGCGTCTTTGTGTATACTGGTGGCACTTCAGGAAATGGAGATGGGGCATTAAGTTTGGCCTAGCTGCATTTTTCAGTTAATTTCCCTCTATCAATGAATGTCCAAGTTGGAGGGCCCTCTGAGATACGCAGTCTAGTTTACCTTACTTAGGATAAATTTGAGACTTAGCGTTTTGTCTAAGAGCATCCTGCTAATCAGTGGCAGAGAGGGTGCCAGTGACCAATGGGCAAGTGGCCCAGCGATCTGCTCTTGCCGCCGCACCACGGCAGACGCCCCTCACTACTCAGCCCTCTGAGTCAAGCACAGTTGGCTCCCACAACTGAAAAATTCACCTGGTGTCTCAAATTACTCCTGTAAAAAAGCTCTCAGGAAGCTCGGAAACTGAAAAGAAGAGGGTGAAGTGCATGTAACCTTTTCCTCCTGCATTCAACTCACTTTATTCACTAAGCTTCAAACATTCTTTAATCACTGCCATTAATGGTGGTGAATTTGGGGGTGAGCGGATGATCTGCAAACACTTATGAGTCTTAAACTTCTTCACTAAAAAAATCAAAAACAAAACCGTGGAGCTTGGTAGCCTCTAGGGTCTTTCTCATTTTACACCTTGAGGTCCCTAGGAACCCAGGATACAAGCTTTCACCAGAAGGAAAGCAAAGGGGGACGATCGGGGAGCACAGAAATTAGACTAGGGTCATCTGGGGTGAAAACCGAGGACGAGGCGTTGTAGGTGGGGCACGCAGGCTGCCTCCTCCCGGTCCCAGGGGTATCTCATCCCAGTCCAGAAACCAGGGATCCAAGGCTGTATCTGCAGGGAGACGGCGCTTCCTACTGCCAAGGCTGGGACGAAGGACAGGGACACGGACCCTCCACCCCGTCTGGGGACGGTCGTGGCGAGGGGGATCGCGGAACACGGCCGTACACATCCACCTGCGTCCCCGCCCATCCTCCCCGGCTGGACCCCCGTCTCACCGTGAACCCCGGAGAAGCCTGGGGTGCTGGGATAGAAAAGGGAGGTGACTCTGGGGACCAAAGGACAGTGGACTTGGACCCAGGCGCTCCTCTCGCCAGAACCCAGAGTGTCACAAAAGCCGGAAGTGCGTCAACATCTGCTTTCCGGGCCTGCGCTGCGCTTTTGGGGTGTGTGTGTGTGTGTGGCGGGGGGGGGGGGGGGTGGTCCTCTCTAGGAAAGCGGGAGGTCTTTGGTTCTTGTTCCCCAACTCGTGGGTCGGGCTTTGGGGATGACTTAGCTCCCCTTTTCCCGTCCGGGAAAACGGGGGTTAAGTTTCCCTCGGTACCCTCCTGCTCAGATACTTATACAATTCTCCTACTTTTTCTTATTGATGGCAGTAATCGTAATAATTCTAGTTATTATCAAACAATAAGGTGATTGTGTGTCTGTGGCAGAGGAACTGAAACAAAAATGTAGACAGTAGAGCAAAGTGAAGTCAAGGATGGATGATTTCACGAAACCAAAGTGGTTGCTTCTCCGGGGACCCTGATTGCGTATTGCCACTTGAACGGACCTGGGGAGGAAAAATGTTGCCTGCCATACCCGTAAACTGCGGCCTTCAAGCCAGCAGTCATTGCAGCCGCCCCCAACTGTGTACCCTGAGGGGATTCAGGATGGAGAAGAGCAGGGTACTGGCCCCAGACAGCTGAGGTGCATGTCAAAGGAATGATTTCAGTGAGCCCAGACTCTTGCATCTTCCCATATATAGAAAAGCTCTAAAATCATTAACTTGAAATGTCTGGTTTTCTTTAATTAAGAGTAATCTTTTGATGTTCTGGCTATGAGGTTTTTGCTGCAAAACTCCTACATATCCTGGCTTCTCCCTTACCTCTTCGGAGCAGCCCGTTAGAGCTGAGAGGCTGTCTTCCCAGCTTAAGTCCTCAATTTTGTCTGCCAAATAAAACATAATTCTCAAGTTTTAGGTTGTGCTTTTTTTTTTTCAGTCGACAGTATTTTCAAATATTTGTTCAATAGGCAACAGATATTCTTTCCAATACTAGATTACAAGATTCTGAGCTTGGCTAATGTTTCCAGGGAGTTTTGAGTGTGATAGTAATGGAATTACTATAGTAATTCGAATTTGAGGCATTTTTGCTGTCAAAATGTTATCACAGTAATTACAGCATTTGCTATTACTTCACTTTTTATAAAAAAGTAAAAGAGATCTTGAATGATTGTGACATGGCTCTTAAGTTCCAAGACAAATTTGAGGGCAAAAATGGAAAGCCCAAAAGGAACAGCCACCTACTACAGAGGCTACCAATGACTAGGTGATATTCTGAATAATCTTCCAAGCCCTGAGTAATGTTCCATTCCCAGTGAGGTTTGACCTTGCTGTGGTTGCCATTGTTTCCTCCTTCTACTTCCCTGTGACTCTTCAGTAATCCACTTGAGTAGGTTTTTGCTCCTTTATCACTGGCTGGCTCCCTGACCTACGGTCCTCCTTGAAGACATATTCCCAGAACTTCTTCCAGATTCTTCCTCCTATTTCCTTCCAGTGTTGCAAGTCATCTCTAAGAGCCATTACATTGTTGTACGTTGTGTTTTCCTTCTTTGCCTAAATCTGCCTTCTCCCCTATCCTCCCACCCCTGTTCGTACCTTAAAGCGCCTAAAGGATCTAGGAAGGTAGGTTGTTGAGTGCAGCCAGCTGGGTATGTTTTTGTATTTATGTATTGTGTGTCGAAGGGACTGTAGGAAGCCTTTGTAATAACTCCATTCTTTGCCTGCTGATATAATGGCACAAGGAACTGAAGTGGCCTGGTGGCATTTTCAGTTTCCAGTTCAGTGGAACACTCAAGGTATCTCCTAGAAGAAATGCTCTTCTTGAGAATCAGGATCATACCCAACAGACTCTAGACTGGGGAGACAGGAAGCACAAATTCCACACATAGGTTGCTGGTTATGATGGTTAATAGGGGCCACTCCTGTTTTGACTCCTTGGTTCCTGTATCCATGTAGTCTTTCTGTTGGAGACACAATACCATATATATGTTATTGGTTCAATGCATATACTGTATCTTGGAGGACAGCTCTCCAGCTTCACAAGGTGCTGTATCTTGTATCAGCAATTTAGCTGAGTCTTCAACGTGCCATTCCACAGTTCCATCGTGCTAGTTGTTTCTGGCTGATGAGTAAACGCTGTGAATTCTGTGGTTACAAGCTCATTGTCACACCTCCTTGACTATAAAATGGGTTCCTTGGTTTAAGGTATATCCAGTGGATAAGGCATCCTATAAGCCCTCAGATGACGGTGCGGATGGAGGCAAAGCAGTCAGGGAAGACAAACTCATATTCAGAGCATGTATCGATTCTGGTGTGATAGTTCCCTTCTTTTGTATCTATCCATGCCTAGTGCAATGGTGGGCATGTGGGAAGGAGTAGTGAAGTGTTCAGCCCCTTGGGAATAGTGGCTCCTACATTTTCTTTAAAGCAATATAGTTTAAGTTAAAAATCATAGATTTTGTGAGTTCGTTGTTTCCACCTGCATCATCTGAATAACGGTTGAAAGAAAATTGTGCTCAAGAGCAAAACAGTAGCTACTGTTTCTTACCATCCTTTGTTAGGGATTGGTGCCTATTGGTGGGACATGGACTCTTAAATGGGTGCCTCCTGAGGACCTCTCGCTGGAGAAAACTGCCCGAGTCGGGCAAAACTTAGACACAGATGCACCACTGTCATAGTTTGTTCACCTCTGCTGTAGAAATGCAACACTCTGCTGAGAGCTACAACCTGTGGGGAAATGGCAACTCAGGAAAGAACCTCAAACTTATAGCTATCCTAGAACATTAGAAGAGCTTGAAATGGTGCCCAATTCTTGAGCTTGTTTTACAGAACAGCAGGTAAAGGAACAACTTGTTTAAAAAACCCTCTGCTGGGCTCCCCTGGTGGCGCAGTGGTTGAGAGTCCGCCTGCCGATTCAGGGGACGCGGGTTCGTGCCCTGGTCCGGGAAGATCCCACATGCTGCGGAGCGGCTGGGCCCGTAAGCCATGGCCGCTGAGGCTGCGCATCCGGAGCCTGTGCTCCGCAACGGGAGAGGCCACAACAGTGAGAGGCCCGCGTACCGCAAAAAAAAAATAAATAAATAAAATAAAAAACCCTCTGCCTTCACTGAACAAGCTCGCTTAAATTATTTTTTTCAAGTTACACACCCTCCAAGCTTCATGTAGCCTAGATAATATACCACGAGATTCCTCAACTACCCCTATAGATAACACCTCTGTCATATGAGTGGCTATAGTAACAGGGACTAAAGCTGTTTTTCAGAAACTTGGAGTCAGCTCTTGTCCAGTTCAAGCTGCTAAGACTGGTTGGGACCACTGATCCTAAAACTCAGCCTGTGCAGGTGTCTGACGAATGAACTTTTGACATCAGAGGGCCAAAAACTCGAAGCTCAGATCATGCTAAGTGCCTGCATTTTTGAACATGCATCCCATTAAGAAGCCTGTAACTCAGATATGCCTTTGCAGAACACTGATTACCTCACCTTTCCCCAACCTCCTATCACCTTACCCCACACTTAAGACCAACCTGCTTCTTTATCCAATAAAAATCTCAAGCCCCTCACCTTCAGGGAGGTGGATCTGAGATTTGTTCTCCTATCTCCTCACTTGGCTTCCGTGTTAATAAACTCTGCTGCAAACCTCAGTCTCTCAGTGTTTGGCTTGCTGCCCATTGGGCAAACGAACCTGGTTCATAAAAAGTTGTTAATGACAAGCAGGAAGTAATGTGTCATCTGTTGTCCCAGGGATTGCAACAGGAACAATGGACATCACCAGGAGGTATAGTTCTGTTCAACACACAAAAAAACTTTCTAACTGGAGCTGTCCAACAAGCAATTGACCAAGCAGTGCATTTTTTTTTTTTAAACAGTGCATTTCCTATCCGTCATGCTGACTTCATTGTGACAGAGATACTATAGACTAGAGAGATTGTGTCATAGTAGGAAGTTGCTGTAGATTCATGAGATACTCAAGGAGAGAAAGGGAAGGCATATCAGAATCTCCCAGAGGCTCATGTAATTTGAAAAAGCATGGAGAATGTCACACTTGATTTTTCTTATATTTAACTGTAAATGTCAAATATCATTAAAGGGTAAATATCTGATTTGTGAGCTTAAAAAAAGGAGTAGTACCTAAAGTCCCTTCCAAATCACTATTTTGATTCTTTAGTCGACTTGCCAGTCCCTGGCGGACCTAGTCCCACCACAAGACATCACATTCTCTAAGGATGCAGGAGGTCCTAATGCCCTAGGGGCTTCTGTGCTAGCCCTGGGCCTGCCTGTCCACGTGCACCGTGCTTTACCCATCCCTCCTTCTGCAGAGTCCCGTCTTTCCACCAGGAACACAGCTCTTTCCCAGTCTCTCTTCCACTCCAACTTGCTCAATGCCCCCACCTTCCCCCAAGAACCGTATTATGTTTCGATCCTGTGATTTTCTGAGGTTCTCATATAACCGAAGCGCCTTCAACCCTGGCTGTAAGCGTATTTTGTACCCCTGTGCTAGTTCCCGAACGGCTGACTCATGGAGGTCGGACCACTAGGTTGGACATTTCGTCCTCATCCCCGACACGCACCCCCGCGGAAGAGCCACCACCCCGCGGGCAGTCTCGAAGGTTGGCTGCAGCCAGGGAAGGGAGAGCGGGGCCGCCTTCCCAAGTCCGGGGCTGTCGCGGTCACTACCGATGTACTGGCTACAGAGCGGCCAGCGGGGGTCAGCAGGGAGGGTGAGACCGGCAGAAGGACGTGGATGGAAAAGCCTCACAAACAAGCCTTAGCGACTTGCACCCTCTTATCCGGGTTCCGCATCCGGGGCCCTCATCAGGGGCCCGCCCTGCCCCCACCCATCGGACTCCGCCTCCGGAAGTACCACAGAGACGCGCCGGCCTCCGAGCAGCCTAGAGCGACCCCCGAAAGGCTGTTGTGGCCCCGTGAGCCAGGGTGTCCGCTACCGGACGGCCGACCGGCCCGCCCCTCCGCTTGGTGAGTCCCCGGAAGGCGTTCTGGGGTCGCGGTTGGTTGGCCACTTGTTTAGCCTCCCGGGGAGGAGGAGTTTCCCGTCCCCGGCTGACTGCGGTTCCCGTCCGCGCGGGGCCGGGGTGCGAGGGCCCGTGTCTCTTCAGTCAGGGTTCGCCCCGACACCCCGCGGACGGAGGGCCCCGCCGTCAGGAGCCGGTGACCGTTCCCTGCTGTGAGCTGGGTTTCTGGGGCCCGCTTCGCCCTTTTGGGACCGTGTCTTGACCTAGCAGGGAAGTGGGAGGAGGGCAGCGCCGGGCGAGGCCTTCTGAGGGCCGGGCGCGAGGGCCCTTTCTGAGGGTGTGGAAAGGAGACGGAGCGCTGCCGCGTCCTTGGGTGTGAAGGACAACCAGTCAGACCTGTTAGAGTCGCAGCCCTTCCCTGGCTTACTGTCAGGATTGTGGGAAAGGCCTTGCCACCTAGTCTGAGTTATCGAAGGGTCTGACCCTCCAGAGTGCAACTTGGTTATCAGTTAAGGCCATTCAGTAATTCAGAGTGGGCTGCCAGTGTTTACCAAAAAATTCGTAGGGGCCTGCTTTTAAAAAATTACGAGTATCGGAACTAGTGTGTTTCTCTGGGTGCGTACCTGAACCTTGAAAGAAGTTTGTAAATGTCAAGTATTTTCAATTTACACAGAAAATTTTAGGCTATTAAATTGTGTTTCCTTGAGTAAAAAAAATTCCACAAATTCTGGATTAGTGGAGTTCAAATAAACTGCATACTTGGACCATATGACTTGGTTCTTAAATATCTGAAAGCGAATAATGTCCATTTTTCTTCCTGCTGTTTATTTTAGGTGGTTAATCGTCATTAACTATTTTCATTGTGTCTACAGTGTGCAAGATACTTTGCTAAGTCCTGAGAATGTAAAATGATGGGTTGTTTTAACTTGTTACAATAATTTCTCCTAATCTCACCCCGCAGTGATGGTCATCGTCCTCCAGAACAGGGATGGAGGAAATATCGGCCCAGGAAGCAGCAGGATCTCCAAGGGTCCAGTTTCAGCCTTTGGAGACCCACTCTGAGGGTCTGTCCCCAGAGCCTCAGTTCGTGCAGGACACCGACATGGAACAGGGACTCACTGGGGGTAAGGCAGAGAGAGCACTTCCATCCGGGAGAATGGGAGTGCAGAGGGGCTCCTGGGCCTGGTATGAGAGAGGCCAGGGATTTCAATGAGAGATTGCTCCCTAGAGGGAGGTCTTGAAGGGAGGCACAGGCGCGACTCAGTCCAGTCCTGATCTGGGCCCCTCTGTTGAGGTCAGCCTGTCCTTTAATAGGCCGAGTGGTCTTCGCTTACTCTGCTCTGGCTGTTTCTCCTTCATGCAACTTTCACTTCATCCCAGTTACCACATTCAGAATAATTTCTAAGAAATGCTGCTTTTGCCGCACCTCACCGCCCTTGCCTTGCTTTCACTTCCTCTTAGATTTAGGGCCTGTCACGTTCCCTTAACTTAGTTTCCCTTAACTTAGTTTCTTCCCTCCTTGACCTTTTGTGCTTTGCCAGCTGCCATTCTGTTGCAACTGCAGTGTTCGTGACTAATCTAACTTTGATCAAGAAAACAACCATCTAATTCCTTGGTTGAGCCCAATGTATACATATCACATATTGACCGTAAAATAACAATGTATACATATCACATATTGACCACAGAGTAACATTTTTATGTATTATAGAGAGAGGTTGATCTGTCTTGTGCTGCCTTTGTCTTGTATGAAGTTTGTATGAGATTACTTGTGCCGACTGCAGAGCCTGAAATAACCTGTGTGTCAGGAAGACCAGCTGAGTGCCATGGTGCGTAGAGTGCTGTGGAGCATCGTGAGAGTGTGGAAAGGATTATGAGGAAACAGATGACCACTCCTTATTCTAGAGGGCCTTACACACTGGCTGCAGAGACAGTGCCCAGTCTCAAAAGAAAGGCTTAATGAAGTTTACAGAACAGTGTCTGGGAGAGGGTCAAAAGTCTACTAAATAACTGTGGCTCTGGATGAGCCACTGCAAATCTTTATGCTTTGCTTTGCCCATTTGCAAAACAGGTAACAGTGCTTACCCTTCTGTTAGAGGTATGTCATGTCATGGAATAATGTACAATATGAGATTTCATAATAAAATCTTGTATCACGGGTCTAAGCATGTGTAAGGAGGGCATGCAGGTGCTGAGAAGGTGCAGAACATGGTCAATACCCGATAAACGTTCGTTGGTTTTGCCGTAATGTTGATGTGAGGAAGGGTCCCACTGACTCTCTCTTTCGTAAGGGAGCCCTGGGGAAGGGCTGCTCTCACTCTTGGCTCCTTTCTCCTCCCTCAGCTCCACCTGTCCCCCAGGTGCCTGCTCTTCCCCACGAGGGAAGCCCAGGAGACCAGGCAGCTGCGCTCCTAACAGCCAGGTACCAGGTGAGCTGAGGAACCCTCTGCTTTTCCTCAGGGACTATTGCTGCTGATTGAGTGTGGTCCTTTCCTCATCCCATCCATAAACCTTTCCTGAATTTTTTTTTTTAATAGACCCCAGGTTGGGTGCTGATCATCTTCAGAGACCTGGACTTCACAGAAACCACCTTTCCATCTCCCCAATACCACCAGCAAACACTTCCTTTATCCTTGGTGCTGTCATGGGCGCTTATTAGATGTTAAAGGGTTGTGGAACCTATTCCCTAGATTCTACTCTGTTCTCCCTCCTTTCCAACATAAATGCACCCTGCAGACCCTCTGTATCATCTCCTTCATTCTCTGGCCATGATGCTGTGGTGGCCTCCTTCCCCAGAGCAGCCAGGCTGTGTTATTTCAGGAGTTTGTGACATTCGAGGATGTGGCTGTGCACCTTACTCGAGAGGAATGGGGATGCCTGGACCCTGTTCAGAGGGCTCTCTACAGAGAAGTGATGTTAGAGAATTATGGGAACCTGGTCTCACTGGGTAAGGATTGCCTTTCTTATTATTCAGTTTACCGCTTACGATTTCTTTACTTCCTTGTTTTTGAGTAGGTGTGAGGTCTCTGAGTGTGGCTCAGATCCCCGGTCGTAGAACCTCCGATTCCTCCTTCTTTAAGGTCGTCTCCTCTGGGAGTGGGTTTCCTTTGGGGGTTTCAGGAGGAGACATTCTACTCCTTAACCTCAGTTAATGTTTCTTGCTTTTGTGGGGCATCTGTTCCCTGTTAGAAAAGGGAAACTTGCTGGTGCTTTGCAAGTTCTCACTTTCCCTATCTTTTCCTTTTTTATGAGAGAGACTCTAGGGCCTCCCAACCCACAACCAGACACTTTCCTTCCTGGTAATTCAGTGCCCCTGTATCTGAGAGTTTCCCATTTTTCTCAGAAGAAGAAATGCCTTTTTTTTTTTTAAGATAGGCTAACGTCTTTGTTGAATAATCCCTCACCTCTTAAGATCCCTAAATTCATCTGCAAGTAGGCAGAATTTGAGAGACTTGATTTCAAGGCATGACTCACTGCGAGTACATTTCAGTGAGTCACCCAGAAGGTAATGCTGCGTAACCTCACCCGAGCTGCAGAAGTCTCAGACTTAGACCGAGTCTCTCCTTTGTCATTTGGATGGTGCAGTTGGCAGCTGAGATTAGACAACCTGTGGTGTTGTAGAGAAGGATCGGTGGGAGTTGTCGGCATCCCCCTCGGTGTGAGCATTGCTCCTCTTTCTTTTTTTGCCTGTCTCTGCTGCTCTTTTCTTTGTTATGTATGTATGTACTTAATCATACTTTTTCTTTTCTCTTTCTCCCTCTCTCTCTTTTTTTTTTTTTTAACTCTTTTTTGCTTTGCCTGTGCTGGTGGCATCCAGGGTGTTGTTTTGTCTCCTTGATTACACTCAGGATTAAAGAGGTCTTCTTATCTGTGGGGAGGCAGCCTGCCCACTGGGAAGGTTTTTAGTATGTTTTCCATTCCTGGCTCTTTGATCTTCGTAGGCATACTTCTCCGCCTTCCCACCACTCGGATTCATAGTGTGAATTCCTGCCCGGCCCTGAGTCATACCCAGGCAAGTGCTTTCTCTGGAGAAACACTTGCAGTCCTTTCAGCAGGAATCTCCCGGAGATGGCCCAGGTATCGGCTTCCCATCGATAGTGCTCGTCCCCGCTCGGAAACTCCTTTTCCACGGTTATGAGATATTACACTTGATTGATGGAGTAGATGCTTCTCAGGATGCCACCACTATGTAAAATTGCAGCTCCTCAGATGACCTTTGATAAATTTCAAAGGGCCAAGGAAGCCCTCCGTTGCAACCAGAATTTTGAACCCTGAATTCTGAGCTCAATCAGAAGCCATGGTTGGTGGTCATCGACTTGTGTTCTCAGAAACCACAAAGTTCGACTCCAGCTCTTCGGTTATGATCTTTTCATGTTATTTTAGACTGTGGAACATACACTGTGTGCCCCTCCTTTTCTGTAGTGAACATGACCTGCCCCTTCTGTTGCCTAAATCTCCTGAGACCCCTGGGCCTTTCTAACGTTCTAGTCTTTTGCTTCTTTTAAATCCCTGTGGTCCCCTCCAGGGTCCTGCCTTCGTCCAGTTTATTCTTTGTGGGGCTGTACAGATTGATGCGTTTATATGACCTTTCCTGGTCAAGTGTTCCTTAGCCTTTCCTCAATGGAACGGAAAGGCTGTCTTTCCTTCAGGCTGTCAAATTGAATGTATATTCAACAACTTGTAAATTGTAAAGTGATATGTAATTGTAAATTACTGTTAATATCTAATAATTACATAATTTCCAACAGTTAACCTGTCTACTTTTTGGAGTAAAGAAACTTCTTAGTTCAGTCAGCCTAACAGCACAGCATACTGTTAGACTGAATTTTATCCCGTTTCCTCTGTCATCTCTGCACATACACAGGACACGTATGCACACTCACACATGCTGGGCACAATTATGTAAAAGAAGCCCTCCTACTCAACTTGTTTTTGTGACCAAGTCAGCAGCCTCTCCTTAGTAATTATTTTTTACAATCTTTAGGAAGTAATTTTCATATTTGGGGGTTCAGCAAACTCCACTTGAAATTGAAGTTTATACACTTAGTTAACTTAGCTTAATGTTTTGTGTTGTAAAATAAGGACTTTATAATTCAGTCTCTGATTTAGCAGCCCTGTTTTCCAGTTCATACCTTTTTCCCATGATAGTAGCTCTGAGTTGTATTTGTCACAGATATCAGAACTTTGGTCTTTTGGTTAAGTGCTTCCACTACACAATAATAAATATACAGAGTATGAACAGAGTAAAAGAATAAAAAAGTAGGTAAAAATTTTCATTACCAAATCTAAAAAGAAGCATATACTGTTGCCAGTGAGTGAATTACTGGCTTGGGGGTCATACCCAAAGGGAAGTCGTCTGTGACTTAGTGCTGGAGATTAATAAGACTGGGAAAAAAGCTTGGATTACAATTCACATGGGGCAGTGTGGCAGGTGCCCTGTTAGGTGACAGCATTAGAAAGCTGCTTCCCAGAACTCTACTGGATGGTGAGTGAGCTGATAAATCAGGAATGTTTGGCACATACCCCTTGCTTTTTGAAGTTGATGTCGTGAGGGCAAAAATGATTTTGTATAGAATGTCTTTCACTACCACAGTTGTTCACTACTGAGCAACCAGTATGTTACTAAGTACTTAACATATCTCATTTAATCCTTACCATAACCCTGTGAGCAGGTATTATTCTGTTTTATACCCGAGGCTAAGAGGAGTTAAGTGACCCATCCAGGGACAAAGCTAGGCTATGGACTCTGATCTGACTCTGAAGCCCACGCTTTTTCACTGTTTTGTGCCTTAGGACAGTTAGTCCAACCACATATAGTGTTTTTTTATATTTTTATGGCTCTGTACTATGATGGTAATTTAAAATGGCCACAATAAATTGGACAGACAGGCATGAGGTAATACAGTTTGGGAGCAGAAAGGGCATGCATTCAAGAAAAAGTAAAATTGTTAGAGGATACATTCCATTATAATAGGTATCTACACAGGAACAATATAGCTAAGGAGAGATTTTATTTGTGTGTTTATTAAGGACCAGGAAGAAAAGCATGCAGCTTTCAGATGGCTAAAATCTTAGCACAGCACTGGTATAGGCAACAAACAATGAGGTAAATTTTAAATGTTATTTTTAAAGATCAGATTAAGTTAAAAATAAATCTAATTAGAAAACTGTCAAGGTTTCAATTTTAAAAATCAAAATGTTTTAATAAAAAATTAATTTTAGATAGGAAAAATTTCAAATTTCGATAGGAAAAATGCATATTTTGAAAGCGTAGATTTTTGACTTAAATCTAGGAAAAAGGCATTCAGGCCAGTGGTGAGAAAACCTGCTTTAATGCTTTCTGTGACCCTTAGTATAGATTGGAAAGAATGTGAACTGTGGGTTCCATTTACCATCTGTGACTGAGCAGATATTTAAACCGATTATAATGACGTTTCCATCTATAAAACAAAAAATAATGTCTGCTTCCTGGGTTGTGTCAAGGCTTAAATCAGGTTATGTGCGTAAGCACCTGGCTTGTGCTGGTTACTTACCAGCACATGTTCTTTCCGAAGGGGCAGCAAGTGGTGGGAGCTATGGACCAGATTTCTTAATACAGACAAAGATTTCAGGAGAGTGTTCAAATTGTTTGTTCATAATGGAATTTTCTCAGATTGAATGTTGCTCAGGCTGTGCCTATTACGAAGAGATTTTCATTCCTTTGACACTAAATGTTCTCTCAGGTCCCTTTTAATTAAACGTCATGATTCTAAATCTGTTGGATCCTGTCTCTCCGTGTATTGTTCTAATTACTGTTTCTCTGTTCTTTTTATTATTTTCACCTTTTGCTCCATTGTCACTATGTTGGTCTTCTGTTCTCTTTCTGTACATATTTAGAGGAAGGGATGGATTTCATTCACAATCATTATTTTTTACTAGTAGATTATTTAAAAGCCGGTTTCTGAAATAAGACTGTCTGTTTGAGCCCCAGCTTCACCAGTTAACATGACCTTGGGCAACATTCTTAACCTCTCTGAATCTTAGTTTTCCTATTTGTAAAATTGGTACAGTAATAATTCCTATCTCATGAAGGTATGGTGAGTATTAAGTGAGTAAAAGCTTATAAAGCTCTTGGTGTGGTACTTTGCACCTACCAAATGCTTAGTGAATCTTAGCTTAATATTTTGATAATACAAGTGACTTTAAGTCTGTATCTTGAATCCCTTTCTCTCTTCTAAACTGCGGTCTTGTATCTCTAACTGCCTGCTAGGCATTGTCTATACCTTCCTACATTACCTTAAACATGTGTCTAAAATCAAACCCCTAATCCAACAAGAAGATGATCTTTTTTGTTGTGTGTAAGTGATTTAAGTGTAGATATAGAGTAACCAAAATTAATTTCAGTTTTCAAATACCTAGAAACACCTTAATAAATATCTGTCAAAAGTTGCGAATTATGTTATCAGAATTCTGAGCAGCGTAGTTGCTGTGTCATGCCATACTAACTTTTTTTCAACTTGCAAAACTATTTCATTTGACATGGAGGACCTTAACTAAAATGTGTCCAAAAAGAGAATTGACTCTATGCCCAACAGGAATTCAGAAACACAGTAAATGTCTTTTTTATATCTGTTCTGATCTCCCTGCTCTTAAGCTGTCATGTGGAATCCCATAGGACAACTATTGGTTTATCATACTTTTCAGGCCCAGAGCCCTTTTTAAAACATTGATTATCTGTTGACACTTGGGCACAAAATTGGCACTCAATGAGTAGCTTTTAAATAAATGAATGAAAAGAAGTGCAAGATAAAAGGTACATGGTCCCTGCTATCAAAGAGTTTATAAATCAGGTAGGGATGATAATACCTGAAAACAGTTTTAAAAAATCTGTAAACTTCATTATATAGAGACATGTCAGGATAAGAAGAACACATAATACAGTTTGTAGACATTCAGTAAGTGCAGAGAAAGGCTTTTGGAGATGAGGGGCTTGAGCTAGACCTTGTATGTGTGCTAGTAGAAGCTTTATGGGCTGAATACGTGTAAAAACTGCCCCTTTGATACTGTAATAGTTCTGCCCCACCTCAGAAGCAGACTGCCTCTTGCTTTTGCTTTAAAAGAGATGAGATAAAAATAAAATAAAATAAAAAAATAAAAGAGATGAGATCCTAGCAGTCCATTATGCAAGCCAGAGAAAGACCATTTTGTGTGAAAATGCACTTTTATTGCATCTTCCTCACTGTATCATATTAGTGTAAGTTATTTGTATCTGTCTCTGCAGTTAGAGTGTAAGGTCCTTGAGGGGATGGACCTTATCTGCTTGGGCTCTTTATCTCCTACATACTTTGCATATAGGAGGCACTCCATAAATATTTGTTGAATAAACAAGAGTATAAGCTCCTAAGGGGTAAGGATGTGTCATATTATTATTTGTTTCCTCATGTGCCCTGAAATGAATTGTTTCTTGAGATTGGTCCTTGGAATATTTTTTCAGCCTTCACTGATTCTATTGCTACAGTTTAGCTCACCGCACAACAGGTGCTTGAGAATTCACCTTTCTCCAGTCCAGCAGAGTTATATTTTGATGACCTCCATTTTGACCAGGTCTAATACTTGTAGGCCAGGTCTAATACAAAGAGTAATCTGTAGGCAACAGATGAGGAGTGATAATGATAATTTCTGTGAAGACAGGTACACACTCACGCCACATTCCCTGAGTGTGTGTAAATGAATACTTATGCTCCCAAAAGTCATCAACTTGCCCCATAGCATACCTCTTTCTAGAGCACAAATATGAACTCGTCGTAGAAGGTCTTTGGCCTTCTCACTCTCCAGGCCTTCCTAATGTCTTCTAATTTCTCCATTAGCCATTATTAAGAGAAAAAGTGGCTGGTGTAGTATCTGGGGATAAATTGCCACATCCCATTTCCTTCTCTGTGAGCAGGATTTCCAATTTCCAAGCCTGATGGGATCTCCCAGCTGGAACAAGATCTACAGGTCTTTGATCTGGAAACTAAGAATAGAGAAGTCTTAAGAGATGACTGCTCAGGTGAGTAAGGCAGAATCAATCAGATAAATTAGTAGGGAAGTAAAGTCTAGTTGTTGAGCCAAGCTGTAGTTGCTTTGGCAGTCAATGAAGAGCTCTGTCTGTATCCCAGAATGGAGAGCTCTTTCCTTTTCCGTTCAGTTTTGATGAACTCTTACTTTGTCCCTTATCCGTAAGTTGTACTAGGTCCCTATTCAAGTTGCTTATCTATGATTCTGTTGAACTAGTTCCCTGTTATCTCCATTGAAACACCTTAATTGGTTATCTTCTTACTCTGCTGAACCTGCCCTCTATTTCTCCCACACCTTGGACCGCTTGGATCCTACCTCACTGCTCCTATTCATGCCCTTACATCTGCTGTTGAGATTTTGTTCCTGTGTTTCAGAGTAAATAAACTTCTCTTACCCTGGTAGATTGTAGATTATTTAGCTTTCTCTTCTCTAAGTTTTGTTTTTCTAAGCACAGGGTACAGATTACATTTGCATTTTCTATTTATATATTGAATCAGATGGAGAGACCAGAGAAGAAAACAAGCTGTTGATTCCTAAGCAGAAAATTCCAGAAGAAGTACATTCATACAAAGTGAGAGTAGGAAGACTCAAAAAGGATATTGCCCAAGTTCCTGAGACTAGAGAAGTGTATAAGACTGAGGACAGGTTAGAAAGGCTTCAGGAAATCTTAAGGAAATTTCTCTTCCTGGAGAGAGAGTTTAGGCAAATAACAATCAGTAAGAAAACCTTCACCAGTGAGAAGAACAGTGAATGTAATGAACCTGAAAAAAGCTTCAGTCTGGACTCAACTCTTGATGCAGATCAGAGAGTTCTTAGAATACAGAATGTTGATGACATTGATAAGTATGACATGAGCCTCAACCAGAATTTAGCTGGTAAACATGAGCAAATAAATCTAACACAGGATTTTCAGAGTAATGAGTATAAGGAAAGTTTAATGGAACTCTCCCACCTTAATAAATGGGAGAGCATTCCTGCCCCTGAGAAATCCTATAAATGTGATGCATGTGAGAAAATCTTCCATCAGAGCTCAGCCCTTTCTAGACATCAGAGAATTCATACTAGGGAGAAACCCTACAAATGTAAAGAATGTGAAAAATCTTTCAGTCAGAGTTCAAGTCTTAGTCGACATAAAAGAATACACGCTAGAGAGAAACCCTATAAATGTGAAGCATCTGATAAATCCTGTGAGGCGTCTGACAAATCCTGTAGTCAGAGCTCAGACATAATTCAGCATAAGAGGATTCACACTAGAGCAAAATCTTATAAATGTAGCAGTTGTGAAAGAGTCTTCAGTCGTAGCGTACACCTCACTCAACATCAGAGAGTTCACAGAGAGATGCCTTGTAAGTGTACTGTGTGTGGCAGTGACTTCTGTCATACCTCACACTTAGCTGAACATCAGAAGGTCCATTGTGAAGAGAAGTCCTATGAATACAACGAATGTGGGTTGACCTTTATTAAGCATCAAGGAATTCGTCTCGGAGAAAAGCCCTATACGTGTAATGAATGTGGAAAAGACTTCAGATTGAATTCCCATCTAATTCAGCATCAAAGAATTCACACAGGAGAGAAACCACATGAATGTAATGAATGTGGAAAAGCTTTCAGTCAAACCTCATGCCTTATTCAGCATCACAAAATTCATAGGAAAGAGAAATCCTATGAGTGTAATGATTATCAGGATAATTTCAACCATAGCTCAGATCTTGTCCTGCAACAGGAAGTCCTCACCAGAGAAAAAGCCTTTGATTGTGATGTGTGGGAAAAGAACCTCAGTCAGAGAGCACACCTCGTCGACCATCAAGGAATTCATACCAAAGAGAAACCTTGTGAATGTAATGAACGTGGGGAGACATTTAGTCAAGTTCAGGCCTCATTCAGCATCTGAGAGTTCACACCAGTTCATGTCCTGAATGTGGTAAAGGATTCGGTCCCAGCTCAACCTTTATTCATCATTGGGGAATTCACACCAGAGAGAAACCTTCTGAATGTGACGAACGTTGGAAAGCTATTAGTCCGTGTTAAACTTTTTACACCTGCGAACCCATACCAATGAGAAAACCTACAAATACATTGAAGGTGGTAGATGCTTCATGCTATTTTCATACCTTAGTCACCATTGGAGAATTCATACTGGAATAAAATTCTATAAATGTGATGCATGTGAGAATATCTTCCATCAGAGCTCAGCCCTTTCTAGACATCAGAGAATTCATACTAGAGAGAAACTACATATGTAAAGAATGTGAAAAATCTTTCAGTCAGAATTCAAGTCTTAGTCGACATAAAAGAATACACGCTAGAGAGAAACCCTATAAACGTGAAAAAGCCTTCAGTCAAAGAAACTACATGGTGAGCATCAAATTCATTTCATGCCGAATACCTATGAATGTAATAAATGTGTATGTGTGGGAGGATTCAGCCATATTCCAACCCTCATTCAGCAAAGAATTCATACCCAAGAGAAGTCATTTGGGTATATAGTAAATGACAAGTCTAGGAGTTCAAGTCTTTTTTCATCATCAGAATATCCATACCAGACAGGAATTTGATATAATGCAAGTGGAAACATTTAGCACCGTATTTCAGGCTTTATTCAACATCAAAATATTGAAGGGAAAATTATTATTTGCATATGAAATCGTTAATATATAGTCCCAGTCTTTTTCATTGCAGAAGAATCTAGTCAGAGGAGTGACTTGGTGAATGCAGTTCTGTTTTCTCATGGCATTCTTTTATTTAATAGGTGTTATAAGTAGGTATGTATGCTTTATTTATGGAACTCATTTAAGCTATTTTTATTTTTATTTTTTTTTGTGGTACGCGGGCGCCTCACTGCCGTGGCCTCTCCCGTTGTGGAGCACAGGCTCCAGACGCACAGGCTCAGCAGCCATGGCTCATGGGCCCAGCCACTCTGCGGCATGTGGGATCTTCCTGGACTGGGGCACGAACCTGTATCCCCTGCATCGGCAGGCGGACTCTCAACCACTGTGCCACCAGGGAAGCCTCTAAGCTATTTTTATTTTAATGTGGCCTATAAACATTTTTATTTTTCCTGAAGTTGGTTCTTATTGTTCACAGCTTCCCTAAGATAAATTGATACACCAATGTTAAAACATGTCAACTTCTGGAAAGCTTCTCATTTAGCTTTTTCTACTGTTCTCAGTCAAAGTTCTCTCCAAAACAGACTCTTAGGCCTGCTGTTTTCTGAGGACCCTATTTCTTTCCAGCCGTAACGTTTGGATTCCTGTTGATTTCTCCATTCTCTTAAGCACCTTCAATGATGGTTTCCTAGTTTTAAGCTGTACACCAGCAGGTATGCCACCCCTACTTGCTTTTTTGGTGTCTTCTGTCCTAATGCAAATTATCTTCCTTTAAAAGAAATGGATTTACACACCCTGTCCATCCATGAGTATGAAGGATTCTGTTTCCCCTGAGTTTGTGGCAGGCAGCTAAACATTTTCAAGTGACACCCAAATTCTTAGCTGTGTTAGCATTCACAGCCTTCTAAAAGAGATGAAAAAGACCTTAGGAAGCCAACAAGACTGGTGGTAGCCTAGCTATATTCAGCGCCTATTCTGCATGTCTGAGTTCAGAATTATTTTATATATGTCCATTGAAGGCCAGCAGAATGCTCAAGTCTGCTTTTGATAGGGTAAAACGTAAAGAACATATACTAAAATCAGAGATCTTCGTAAGGGAATGCTGCCTTCCATCAAAGGTATTGCTGTTCTTGTGTAATATCTTTAGAGTATATTTCAAGAATGGCAGATATGCCTGTAAAATCTAACCATTACAGTTTTTCATTACCCGTTTTTAATTGTTTACACTACCTGTTTTTAATTGTTTACACATCATCATATTTTTTGTATTTTACTAGAGTCTACAGGCCATATAAAATAACATTTTTTTTTGATTGATGAAACTGAGCACAGATGTTGGCTCCAGAGTTCAGTGTCACTGTCATAACACCTAGCAAGAGTTCATGATTCTTTAGATGATGTCAAAGCATTCTATTGTATTTTTCCATCTTAAGCGTCAACATATTTTGTGAACAAGACAGTGTTATTTAAAATTCTAGTTGTCGTTCCGGCGATTGAGGCTTTCATAATTCATATGTTAAAATATTCTCTAGGGATCCTTAACAAATATATAAAAATTCATTGCTTACTCTGTAAGCCTCTTATGGCTAATAACCTCTAGGGTAGTTCTACCACAGTATTTTACCTCTTAGCCATCAGCAAGCATAGGATCTCATCAGGGCACGGTAGAGACCTAAATGAATTGATCTAAATGTAAAAGCATATGAAAAATGCATGTTTTCGTTTTCCTGTCTATGACCATATATACCCTACGGATAGAGAACACGGATAATCACTTCCAGTGATTATGAAACAGAGGATTAAGTAATCTCTAAATAGCAGAAAATGTAAAAATCACATGTATTCATTTGGTTTAGGAATGTCCTTTTGTACTTCCACTTGAATAAAGGTGTGTTTGGTACTCTGAGAATCTGTTTCAAATAAAATCTGAAGTCCTCAGCCAGAAGCATTTGGGAATCTTAGAATCACCTTCCTGGCTGCAACTCAGTTCCTTCTAGAAACCTGCTTCACAGCGGGAATAAATCACTCTCCTTCGTACAGGTACAAAGCTTGCTCTTCCACAGACCTCTGCAATAAAGTCAATGTTTACAATTTAAAGGGTTATTCGGTTGGGATGTTGTTGGCACATTAAGGGTAAATAGTTTGAGGTTTCAGTAGAGCTGGGCAGAATGTGTTTTTTAAATAAAACACATTTTAAAAAATGAGAAACCAAAATAATCCTTGAGGGCAAGTAACTTGTCTCTTTAAACTTGCTGATATTTAATTGGTCCAGTATAGTTTGTGTTCTTAGTCTTTTTAGCCTTGAAGACAGGGGAGGGAAGAGAAGAAATCTAATAGTTGGGACACCTAATTTTATCTATCTGTCCACCTACCTACGTACACATGTATATATATATGCACATATTCAAACAGTCCTCACAACAACTCTGCAAGGGAACCAGCTCCGTTTTACAGAGGAACTGAGGTGTAGAGAGGTTGAAAAACCTGTAGGGTCACACAGTAAGCTCAAAGTCAGGGCTGTTTGACTCCACAGCTTTCCATCATCGTGATGTTGGTATCGGACACATCCCAGAACCTAGAGAAGAGACGTTTTCTTTGATAGTTCTTTGTTCCCTGTTACACACCCAGTGATTCACCATTAGTTTGCAGCTGATCCTAAATGCTCCCAGAGCTCTCTGGGAAGCTGGGAGAAAATATCCCAGTATCTTTTGGGAGCTAGTTAGAACCTCCCTGCCCCACCCTTTGAAACAGGCTTGACAATTTTGACGACAGGCTACAGGTCAAATCTGAATTCCCATCTTCTGCCAAGACACCCCCACTGCCATCACTAGATTTATTTTTCCATTTCTCAATGACCCACATGCATTCTTAATTTTTCTGCCAACTAGGACTTACTAATGGATACATATCCTTACCAAGGTTTACTATCACCTCTGACCATATTATAGTGGTGGAGCAAAGTGGGGAATGGGAAAATCAAGTTTGATTCCTAGGTTTTCGGCTTGAGCAAGAGTGGATCGGTAGACTAGAGATGGAGAGTGCTGAGAGTGGAGCAGGGAGAGTATTTCGGGCAAAAGAGAGCATGTCAGAAGGCCTGCAGAGGAAAGAGTATGGCATTTTCAAGTCAGTAATAAATGAGCTCTTTGGAGAATGCCTCACCTTAGGAAATAGTACGTGGGTAACTGAGGATTTGAGAACAAAGTTCAAAGGAAGCCCATAGGGTGTTGTCTCAGAAACGATGGAATTTCTCACATCCAAGTATGTAACATCTTATGTCCTTTCATTCATTCAGTAATACAGTTGGCAGGCAATATTTAGTGGAATCCGGTGGATACAGTTAACCTAATCAAATGCATTAAACAATCCATTGAGTAAAGAAGACAGATGAGTCAAAGCGATGACTTTGGAATGAGACATATGTTTGAACTTTACTAGCTATATGACTTTGGACATTTTACTTAATTAGCCTTTCTAGTTTTCTTGTGTATACAGTGTGGTTATTAATAGCATGAAAATTAAATGAGGTAATGTAAAAGCTACTGGTCATATACTAAATGCCCAGAAGTTTTTAATGTAAATACTAATATAAAAAACGCTACAACAGAGGAGAGATACTTAGCATAAAATCTAAAAAAGAGGAAATCAACGAGCAAGCGTTTACCAGTGCAGGACTGGCATTGTTCAGGGAGGGACACCCTGAGGTAGGAGAACTTAAAATATGACTAGAGAAATCACTAGGCATTTGTGGTCTGTGTGGTAGGAACTGCCTCCTGACAGGCACTTCCTGCTGGAGTTGGCAAACTGACACGCCTCTAATATTCGTTATCATGCGGCATCAAGTCTTAACACTCCCTTCAAAATATGAGTGCATGAAGGAACCGATGTTAAATCCAAGACTTAAGAATGGTTTCAAATAGATGGTGTTCTGTACAAATCAACAAGAAAATATTGATTTTGGAATTACTTTGCTGCCTCATCCCACTCTCTTTAAGAAAATGGTTACCCTTTTATATTTGTATTTCATCCATGTTAATAAATTTACAACTTGGACGTAATTACGAACGTCTTTCCCGCAGCCGCTTATGTCCCGCGGACAGCATTTCCCCCGTCTTCCTCCACTGTCTCTCCGGAGTGTGGTTAGCCTCCAGGCTCTGGTATGAACGGGCCAAGGTTGAAATCCTGCCTCTAGATTGCTCACTAGCTGTGCAGCTTCTGGCGTGTAAGATAGTAAAAAGTATAAACTTTGTGGGATTGTTGTGAGGGTTAATGAGATAATGTTCAGTTTCAGTGCCCCATAACTGGTAGCTGTTATGTTTGAGTTTAGCAGGAAAATCCTCTATCATGAACAGCTCGTTTCCTTATCCTTTTTTCCTGCTTCAGCATATCAGATACGCCTCTGCAAACCTGTTCTCCAGGTGCAGTAGTTGTTTGGATCTTGATCCTATGTCTACGGCTTTTCTTCCTCTTTCAGCCCTTTGGTACCAGTACGTTCCTCCTCTTTGTTTATATGCTCCAGGCATAACTGGGAAGCTGAGTTGAAGCGACAAAGGGAGAGGAGGACAGGCTGGACAGAGGGCGTAGATAACAGGTTTTGGCCCAGCAGGGTCAGCGTGGCCTGTGATCTTGAAGAAGGCATGTGGAGATGGGTGGAGCAGAGCGGAGGAGGCAAATGGGGTGCACACGGGACACTGGCGATGAGAAAGAAGAGACAACCAATTTAGATCCTAAGTCCACTTGGGCGATGAAGGGCAAATAGAGAAATCTTTTCTGTCCTCCTAAAATCCCTTCTTGGGAAGGAGGACAAACGCCCAAGGAAGCCCCTCACCCGACTCCGCTCTGGACCCAGCTCCCCAGCGGCCCCTAGGGAACCCGCGATCGAGATTAGACCTCCGAGCTGCCTAGACGGGCCCCGGAAGTGCGCGCCGAGGAGCAGGCGTTTCTAGTCCCCCTGGAGGCCGAGGTCGCCGACGCCGCCGGAACGAGCGGCCGGCTGAGCGAGTGAGTGTTGCTGTTCGCCGCTGGGGCGGCGGGAGAGGATCGGGCAGCGGGGGTCCCGTGGGGTCGGGGTGGGGCGCGCTGCCGGCTGGCCTGGCGCTCCCCGCGGCAGGGTCCAGTCTGCCTGCAGGGAAGACGAGGCTCCCCCGACCGCCCCCAGGCCGGGAACCTCTCAGGAAGCGGCACCTACGGCACGGGCAGCTTTCCCTACATCTGTCCTCTTCTCGCTCTCTGTCCTGAAGTGACTGCCCGTTCCTTGGGTCGGGTTCTGAAGACCTTTTAGAGAAGATCCTGGCCTTGGAGCGGCACCGGGGACTGGACCCGGCCCATGGAGAAGCTGCCTGAGCAGACGTCCCCGGAGTCCCCGTGTCCGTCCCTCGAGCAGGAGCCTCGAAAGAGCAAGGGTGAGGAGAGCTGACCTAGCTGCTTTCTTTGTCTAAACTTTGTCCTTCCCACCGCGGCCTCAGATCGGATGGACACGATTAACCGTGCGCTTAGAATTACCCTGGTGCAAGACACTGATTTTTTTTTTTTAACCTAAAACTCTATTACATGTAAATAAAGCCTATCACTAATGTTTCCTCTCTTCATGTGTGGAGCAGACAGACCTGCAGACCTGCAGCAGCACTGTCCATAGCACTAAGTTTTGAGGATCTGTTATTCCAGCACGTGTTAACTTGCTTGTCCTTTGAGAGGCCCAGTAAACGTTGTGTGAATAAAAGAATGAATGAACCCAGCCAAGTGTGTCCTATACCCCAAGTACCAGGAAAAGAGTGGGCTTCTCCCCCGAACCTGCCTTTCTTCATTAGGGAAGATACATTTTCCACCCAGGATGTAAACTTCGAGAGGGTACCTTGCCTGTGGAGTACAGTAGACAGGCCAGACACCTGCTGATGGAAAATGAGGTTAAACTGTAAACATCAACATTTAAATTTCAATCTACCATCCCACCATTATCTCATATATGCTTGGCCTTTAAAAAAAGGTGGATTTGGATTATTTAATTGAGGGACAAAGGCTTAGATAATCCACATCATAGATTTTGAGATGGCTAAGGTTTGGAGGATTTTTCTTTCACATATTTAGCTTTCTAATTCTGTTTTAGGCTGATTTTTAACTCAGATATTCTATTGAGTTATTATTATAAGGCGCTGAGACTAAGTTGAAAGAAAACGTACCTCTGTTGGCCCCCCCCACCACCACACACCAGCTTAGAGTTGAGTTGGAATAGTTATCTGTGAGAGACTACAGGACAATAAACAATGTGGACGTTCACCTATCAACTGGGTATTGGCCCAGGAGGCCTTAGAAAATCATATATTTGGCCTTGAAAGAATTTAGAGTAAGAAAAGAATCAGAGTTTAGGTAAGAGGGAATAGGCCCTTATCACAGGCTCCTCACTGCTAGTCTTTCTAAGGCCAAGTGCCTTAGTTGCCATCCTAAAATATTTATTTGTGTTAGTTCACAGTGCCCACTGCATTCAGTTCATTCTCTGTAACCTGGCATTCAGGGTCCTCTGCAGTGGGGTTTCAACCCAACTTTAAAGTCTTTATCTCAGTGTTCCCCCAGACAGACCCTGCAAGACTCGTGTGTCTGCACAAGGTAATGCCGAAAACACTTTGCACTATCCACCATTGTGCCTTTGTGTCCTTTTTTTGCGTCGCTGTCCCCTACATTCTCTGCCTACCCAAACCCCACACATCCCAGTGTCCCATGCTTGAAACCTCAGTGCAGGGCAGCCTCCTCCATCAGGTTTCTGAAGCAGACTGGTGGCTGCCAGGAAGGAAACAAACACATGCTAGAGATGTGGAAACCTGTAGGACTTGGTGGTTGACTAAGTAATAGAGGGAAGTTGGGTGTAATCACCTTTGTTCCCTTTGCTATCATACCTCTTAAAAATCTTCACCAGTTGCTGTTAATTTTGTAACTGCCATTCACTTGGTGCAGGGCACTGCTTCTGCTCCATCGAAACTGATTATATCCAGGTTGCCAGTGGCTTAACTAATGAATCCACTGGACATATTTTTTTTTATCCCTAATTTTAATTTTAATATATTTTTTTAATTAAAAAAATTTTTTTTTTGGTCTGCGTTGGGTCTTCATTGCTGCCTGTGGGCTTTTCTCTCTAGTTGCGGCGACCAGGGGCTACTCTTTTTTGCAGTGCACGGGCTTCTCATTGTGGTGGCTTCTCTTGTTGTGGAGCACAGGCTCAAGGCCTGCGGGCTCAGTAGTTGCGGCACACGGGCCCCAGAGCGCGCGGCCTTCAGTAGTTGCGGTGCATGGACTCAGTAGTTGCGGCGTGCGTGCTCTAGGGTGTGTGGGCTTCAGTAGTCATGGCGTGCTGGCTCAGTAGTTGTGGCTCGCGGGCTGTAGAGCGCAGGTTCAGTAGTTGTGGTGCACAGGCTTAGTTGCTCCGCGGCATGTGGGATCTTCCTGGACCAGGGCTCGAACCCGGGTCCCCCTGCATTGGCAGGCGGATTCTTAACCACTGCGCCACCAGGGAAGTCCCATCCCTAATTTTTTTTGACCCTTTAGTATTTCTGTTGATGTGATCACTGTTCCTTGAAACTCTTGTTCTTTGGTTTTGGAAGCACTGTTTTCTCCTGGTCCTGCCACTTGCCTTCTCAGGGTCTTTCCCATTCCTGTTTCTCTGCTTCCTTCCTTCCTTCCTTCCTTCCTTCCTTCCTTCCTTCCTTCCTTCCTCCCTCCCTCCCTCCCTCCCTCCCTTCTTTCTTCACTGCACCATGTGCTTTGCGGGATCTCAGTTCCCTGACCAGGGATTGAACCCGGGCCACTGCAGTGAAAGCGCAGAGTCCTAACCACTGAACCGCCAGGGAATTCCCTCCACCCATTTCTTAAACACTGATTTTCCCCAAAGCAGTTCTCAGCCCTCTTCTCTTTCACCCTCGTGGGTGATCCTGTCCCCTTCTGAGACTTCAGGTTGCACTCTGTGCTGAACCAGACATCTGTAAGTGTACTTCTGGACTCATTCTTTTGTGCCATCCCCCACCTCCCTACCTTCCAGTGACTCCCTTGACTAATTTTAGTAGGTGCTTTTCCCAAACCAGAAAACTTGGATCATCCTCTACATTCTCCTTCCCTCTGTATTCATTTGGCCACCAAATCCTGTCAGTTTTTCTTCAGAAAGGCCTGACTCTGTTGCCTGTCACCACCACCTCCTCATTTTAGGCCCACTTTATTTCCTTGGAGTATTGACACATCCCTGTGCTGTTGGTAATTTCCCCCACTCTCAGCTGCCCATATTATTCTCTGCCTATAGAATAAAGTCTCAAATCCTGAGTGTGGCGTATATGTCTCTTCATTATGTTTTTCAAAAAAAATTGTTCAGAGTGACTTTATTATTGTTTTTTTGTCTTTTCATTATCTGGCTCTACTCTTATTTTTTCTGCTCTATGTCCTACTTCCTGCCCACACGGAGCATACATCTCATTGAATTTTTTATCACTACTCCTTAAACTTAGTATTCCCTTTTATGTTTCTGAGCCTTAACATATGCTGTTGCTTTTGCCTGCAATTCTCTTTCCCTTGTTGATCCCGATCATAGTTCAAGATGCAGCTTAACGTCATTCTTTGAGGATGTCGTCCGCAGTTCACCTAGGGAGGGGTTGTCATTCCTAATTGTGCTTTGAAACAGCATTATAATCTCTTTACCAGAATCTTGCACGTAGTCAGCGTGGTACATATGTTTGTTGAGTGATTAAATCAAACAGGAAGTATATTAGTTTCCTACGACTGCTATGACAAATTACTGCAACTGCATGGCTTAAAACAACTGTATTTTCTCATAGGTCTGGAAGCTAGAAATCCAAGAGGGCCAGGCTTGCTCTGAAGGCTCTAGGGAAGAATCCTTCTTTGACTGCTCGTAGCTTCTGGTGGCTTCCAGCCATCCTCCGCATTCCTTCGCTTGTAGCTGTATCACTGCAATCTTGCCTCCATTGTCACATGGCCTTCTTTCCCATGCGTTTCTGTGTCTGAATCTTCCTCTCCTTTCTCTTAATAAAGATTCCAGTCATTGGATTTAGGGTGCACCCTAATCCATTATGATCTCATCTTAACTAATTACCTCTGCAAGGACCCTATTTCCAAATAAGGTCACATTCTGAGGTATACATAAATTTGGGGGTGAGGGCTCTGTTTGACCCAGTACAGGAAGCGTTGCTCATTTCTTCTGCTGTTAGAAGTAAATGTACTTGGGATCACACAGCTTTGTAGTTAAGCTGCTTGAAGAACTGTGTAGATTTCCCCCTCCCTTTAAATTAGAAGCAAATCAGTCTAGAAATGTTTCTTTAGACCTTCATCCACAGGGACACATTTTTTTTTTTTTTTCTTTTTGCGGTATGCGGGCCTCTCACTGTTGTGGCCTCTCCCGTTGCAGAGCACAGGCTCCGGACGTGCAGGCTCAGCGGCCATGGCTCATGGGCCTAGCCGCTCTGCGGCATGTGGGATCTTCCCGGACCAGGGCACAAACCCGTGTCCCCTGCATCGGCGGCGGACTCTCAACCACTGCACCACCCGGGAAGCCCAATAGGGACACATTTGATGAGCCTGTTATTCCAGAGGGCAACTGCTCTCTTCTTGGGCTTCTCTAGCTCTGTCTCAGACTGGCCACTGTCTGCAGAGGTATTCCAGAGGGTCCTGCCATCCATCAGAGTTTGGATCCAAGTTTTTGATATTTCTTATATAAGTGGCTCAAACCCATGAGGCTCAAACCCTCTCTGAATTCTATTTGAGTTTCAGTCCTGAAGACTTTATAAATGGTCAACGTGGGGCCCTCCATGATTCATAGATTCTTCTCTTGATGGAGTAGAACTTCCTTATAATGGATTGCTAGGAAATAATCAGGAGCATTATTGGAGGAAAAGAAATGGAAGACACCTCTTATTCTAGAGGTACTTTCAAAATAAATTGAAGGGAATACACACATACAAAAAACTAAACATATTTCTAAGGAGAGGCCCAAAGTCGATGTGGTTAAATGCCATGAGGAGGGGGCAGGAACTGTATGCTTTAGAGATTCAAAGGAACAATCACTTCCAGCCGGAGTTTGGAGCAGGGTTAAGTTTGGGGAAGGAGGCTGCCTTTGATCTGGGTTCTTGCAGGGTGGATAGGATTTTGATTGTTGGAGTTGGAAGGGAGGCTGATCCAGGTGGAGGAAGAAGGTCGAGCAGAGAAGGAATTGCGTGGGGAGCTAAATGTTCAGGAAACATTTCAGAGTAACTGGAGCATAGAGTAGATTGATAGAGGATGAGACTAAAGGCAGAGTGGAACACGAGTGTGGAAAATGAATGCCACGCCAAAGAATTTAGATTTGCTTGGCAGAAATTGAAGTATGTGAGCTTTGCTTAACAGGAGGCTAGCAGATGAACATTGCAAATCAAGGAAGAGATTCTAGTTTGTTTAGTGTGAGAGGTGATTAGGATCTGACTTTAGGATATTAGCAGTGATAACAGGAAGGCAGGGGAAAAAAAGTATTGCTACGTTGTAGATAGAAGCAATAGTACTTTTGTTTACTGAGTGGATATGGGGACAGAGAAGAGAGTCACTGGTCATTAGTTACCGCACCACCCTCCCTTTATTTTGAAAAATGTTAAAGCTACAGGAGAGTTGCAAGGCTATCGTACCAAGTACTCACACACCAGAAGTGCAGGTTTGGGATAGGTTGATCTCAGGAAACTGGTATGAGAGCCGTCGTGTGGAAATGTCTTTTTCGATTATTGGAGATGCTGTAGCTGGTCTACGAATATCCCCCGTCCCAGTAGATGGGAACACCATCCCTCCTGCTACACAACCCAGAGAGAAACTTTGGTTTCTCTCGTATCCATATCCGTCAGCCAGTAATCCTGTCCATGTGACTGTCAACGTTTCTTTCCAGAATCCAAGTGCTTCTTAGTACCTCCTCTGCCACCGTCTTGGTTCAGGTCGCCATCATTTCTCCCCTGGATTATCGCAGCAGCCTGGTTGGTTGTCCTGCCTCTGCAGTTACCTCCCTCCAGCCTCTACCCAGCATGGCAGCCAGTGTGATCCTGGTAAAGTGTCAGCTCTTGTCTTCCTCTGGTCAGAACCCTCCAGTGGCTCCCCATCTCACTCTGAAATAAACCTCTTACAGACCTGTAGCCTACAGGGTCCTGTGTTCTCTGATCCCCCTTCTATGTCTCTGACCTCAGTTCTTACTCCTCTCCCCCTTGCTCATTCTGCTCCAGTCACACTTGCCTCTTTGAACACCCAGGGTCTCGCACTTGCTATTTCTTCTATGTGTAATGCTCTTTCCCACATATCCTTATCTCCTTCAAGTCTTGGCTTAAATGTCATTTTCTTAGTCCTCCTTTTACTGTGATATTTAAAATTGCAACCCTTTTGCCCACTGCCCCCTGGCACTCTAATCCTTGTTCCTTGCTTTTTTCCTCTATAACACTTTTATGACCTTTTAACAGTATGTAATTGACATAGTTTACTATCCATCTCCCTTAGTAAAATGAAGGGTCTTTGAGGATTTTTGTGTTTTGCTTACTGATGTATCTCAGAGTCTGGAACTATACCTGGCATGTTGTTAGTGATCAATAAAACGTACTGACTGTTACATGACTTAAAGATGAGTATTTCAAGAGCTGTAGGAAAAGGATCACCTTCACCTTCATGGAGAAGGTGATATTGAACAGGGCCTGAGAGCAGTGAGATTGACATCCTTGACTACGTTGGGCAGGCTGTCAAATCTCGGGCAGTGGGCCAAATAAAAGGCACATCCTCTACAACATCCCAGCCTTCACATATTATGAGTAGAGTGGTTCAACAGATAGTAAAGAGGCTTTGTGTAGGGAGAAGATCAGAATGAGGCTGGAAAGACAGATGGGGGCCAGGTCAGGGCGGTAGAGAAGAAACCCTAGTCCCTGCTCCTCAGGAGCTTGCAATCTGTCTGACAAGTAAGGTAAACACACGTGCAAGGGGACGTAAAAACATTAAACCAGCAATCCATTCACACCTGGTAGAATAACTAACATCGAAAAGATAAGAAATAAAAAGTGTTGATGAGGATGTGGAGAAAAGGGAACCCTCATGCATTGTTGGTGGGAATGTAAATTGGTGCAGCCATTATGGAAAATGGTATGGAGCTTCCTCAAAAAATTATAAATGGAACTACTATGTGATCCAGCACTTCTGGGTATTTATTCAAAGGAAAATAAACCATTCTCTCGAAAAGATATCTGCACCCACAGGTTCATTGCTGCATTACTTACAATAGCCAAGACATGGAAACAACCTAAGTGTCCATCGATGGATGAATGGATGAAAATGTGCTATCTGTACACACAATGGAACATTATCCAGCCATAAAAAACACGAAATTCCTGCCATCGCAACAGCACGGTTGGACTTCGAGGACATTATGCTAAGTGAAATAAGTCAGAGAAGGACAAACACTGTATGACCTGACTTGTATGTGAAATCTGAAAAATCCAAACTCATAGATAACAGAGAACAGATTGGTGGTTGCCGGAGGCGGGGGGTGGGGAGTGGAAGAACTGGATGAAGGGGGTCCAAAAGTACAAACTTACAGTTATAAGGTGAATAAGTCCCAGGGATGTAAGGTACAGCTATAGTTAATAACACCATGTAGTATATTTGAAAGTTGCTTAGAGAGTAGATCTTAAAAGTTCTCATCACAAAAAAATTTGTAAGAAAACCAGTATCCAAATTGAATGTACAGAAGATGAGGGCATATCTGGAGGTGGAGAACAAGTGTAAATATGGCTCTGTGAGACCAGATACTTCTTAAATTCCTTAAAGACAATGACCATTCCCTACTAAAATCAGGGTTGCATATGTTTTAGACTTTCACTGCTGATGGAAATGATACTACATTGGATATTCCTCAGCACCCCCTTCTTCCAGAAAGATCCCCCTAAGCAGAGGGCCTTCTTTCTGTAATATCACTACACTTCAGTAAGCCATATTTAATAAGTAAAACTTAAGAGGAGAAATGTATTATAGTAAACAGGAGATGTTTTTCTAAGGTCTCCCTTAGATACAGCTAGGGTGCAGAATTTTTTGTTTGTTTGTTTTTAAATTTTTGGCCACACCGCGTGGCATGTGGGATCTTGGGTCTTAGTTCTCTGACCATGGATTGAACCTGCGCCCCCTGCATTGGAAGGTAGAGTCTTAACCACTGGACTATCGGGGAAGTCCCCAGAATTGGTTTTTGTATGTTCTCTTAGAGTTGAAATAGATTTGGAAGTATTTCTCACTACCCCGTGCTTCATATTTTAAACAACTTTCCCCCCTATTCTCCCCTCCCTTCCTCTTGCAAATCCTCCCAGTTTGTACCATTTCTAAAAGATGCATCTAAGGTCCGAGTATGTCATGTTCATGAATGAGCATGTGAGCATCTGTGTGTAGAGAGAGGCTCTCAACAGGAGTGAGGAAGGTGCTGGTATGTGATTACAGGAAGGGAGCCTTCCCTGTTACCACAGTGACAACGCATGTGACCAGGGTACCGTGTGGACAGAACCTCTGCGTGAGGTTCTTTTATTTATCCGCTCAGTCCCTGCCCCTCCCCACACAGAGCCCCCAGCATCACTCTTCCTGTGTTCTGAGATAATCCCACTTCCCTCAAACTCTGCTTTCCTATTCTGCTAATTCCAGTATATCTGTCTGGTCAGGGACTTCATATATAAATCCTCACTTTAGTTTCCCCACCACTTTCTCCAAATCTGCTCAGCTTGTATCCATCTTTTCCTCCTATTGTGAGGCCATTTTTCGTACTTTTTTGAACCAGATACCCTGGAATACTTTGATCATCCTGTTTCCCACAGGGAGTTTTTATTGTTACATATACTTTTTTTGTATTTTCCGTCAGATGGTGAGACCTGGACTGAGGATCAATTAATTATAAAGCAGAAAACTCTTGAAGTAGGGACACAGCCACATGAAGGAGAGGAATGTGAATGAAACAAACATGGGGGACCCTATGGGTATGGACAGAATTTTGGTCATATCTCAGACTTTATCCGACAGCCACACATTCTTATGGAAGAGAAATCTCAAATGTGCAACACTTGTGGCAAGCTATTCAGATGGAACACATACCTTATTCAGCATGAAAAAATCCACACACAGGAGAAGCCTTATGAGTGTCATGAATGTGGAAAAGCCTTTGGCCATAGTTCAAATCTCATTCAGCATCAAAGAATCAACACCGAGGAGAAACCCTACGAATGCGGTGAGTGTGGGAAGGTCTTCCGGCGCAGCTCACACCTCATCCAGCATCAGATCATCCACACGGGGGAGATGCCTTACATGTGTAATGAGTGCGGAAAAGCTTTCGGTCAGAGCTCAGGTCTCCTTCGACATCAGAGAATCCACACTATGGAGAAGCCCTATGAATGTACCGAATGTGGGAAGGCCTTCAGCCAGAGCTCAAATCTAACAGAACATAGGCGAGTTCACACCAGAGAGAGACCATACAAATGCTGCGACTGTGGGAAAGCTTACAGTCGTAACTCACACCTCATCGAACATCAGAGAGTCCATACAGGGGAGACTCCTTATGACTGTAATGAGTGTGGGAAATCTTTCAGTAGGAGTTCACTCCTTATCAAACATCATAGAATTCACACTGGAGAAAGACCCTATGAGTGTAGTGAATGCGGGAAGGCCTTTAGTCGGAACTCCCACCTTATTCAGCACCAGAAGACTCACAGTGGGGTAAAACCTTCTGAATGTAAAGAATGTGGGAAAACCTTCAAGTACAGTTCATACCTTATTGATCACCTGGGAATCCATTCATGAGAGAAACTGTGAATGAAGTGAAGGTGGTAAAGCCTTTGTTTGGAGTTCAGCTCTTAGCGAACATCAGAGAACTCGTGCTGGGGAGAAAACCTTTGGCTGTAGTGAGTGCAGACGGCCTTCAGTCCTAGCTCAACTCTTACCAAGACCTGAAAATCCACACAGTGGACAGATCTCATGGATGTGTTCAGTGCATAAGTACCTTTAGACAGAGTTCCCGCCTTACTCAGCATTAGCCAGTTTGCTTTGGGGGAATGATGGGTATGGGGAGAGCCTTGCTATGTGTCAGAGAGGGGCACGAAAGGGGCGTCATCTGACACTACAGAAGGAATGACTAAAGTGGAAGCTTAAGTTAGCACTACTTTTTATTTGATTTTGAGGATCTACATCAGAGGGAGATTCTATGGTTTTTTTTTCACATCTCCATAATCTTCCGCCAGAAATGGAATGGGTTAGGTCCATTCCAGGGAAGAAAGAATCAGGGCATTCTGGATTCAGACTCATAGATCAGGAAAGCTGCAATGTGACCTTTGAATCCAGTAGCTTTCCTTGTATCTCATCTGTCCTGTTGGTTGTAACTATACATGGAAGTGGCTCTTGGGTCTTCTTGGACCAGCATTTTCCCTCCTCAATGTCCTGCAGACTACTGAATCTCTTTTTGTTTTATATTTCATAGATGCTTTTAATAAATGGGAAAATTTTCTAAGCCCAGTAATTTCTCAGTATAACATGTCATGGGCTTTGTTGTGTGTCAACTCCGGTAGGCTGAAGTGCATTTGTCAGATTTCCCTTTCTTGTATTTTTCGGTTTGTGTGGTCTACAAGGGAGATTCTTGGGAGAGCTGGAGGGCAGAACAGAAGCAGCAGTAATTTTGTAGCTCACACATGTCACTGATCTGCTGACTCACCTCACTGGCACTGGACATGAAACTAGTGTACCTTCCCCAGGATTCTTTTTTGCCTTTACTGGGCCGTGGTTTTCCTTCTCTGATTGAATCCTAGTCAGACACATGCTTACTATCCTATGAGAAGTACACATTTATTTCAAGTTTAGGTAGAGAGAAATGGTTAGCTTCTGGCTGTTTTTAAAAAAGAATCTCAATAATAAGCTTCAAGATTTCCTATCAGGAAAGCTACTGTTCATACTCCTTTATAACAAAACTTCCATCATAACCTGAGGCAGAGCTTCACTACCGTGTAATTATGGAGAGAAAAGTTTGCAAAGTAGTTGAATAGTGTGATACATGATCGACTGATAAAATTTTTAAAAATCAAGAATTTGAGCACCAATTTATCATGAATATTTTAATCATTAAAGGAGATTCCCAAAGTACCTCTAGTAGGCAGTATATTTTAGATTTATTCTAGGCATCTGAGAGAAATATCTACTTTGTTGTAAACGTTTATGTTTTGATTACAAAAAATAAGATTATTTTTCCTCCTGTTAGCCTGGATTAGTGATTATCTAAAATATCGGTGAAAACTATACTTATGTTGTAGACTCTTGAAATTGAAAGTTGCCTCTGTCTTGTATACCTTTCCCTGCCTGGTCTGGTGCTATGCACACAGGTGTTCAGTGGCTGTGGAGTGAATCTGTTTACTGGAAGCCAAAGTCTTCCTGTTTGTCTCCACGCTTCTCTGCACTCCCCCACCTTCCTCCCCTGTTCCTGTAGGTGATTATCACACTACACAAGGGTCACCTTGCCATCTGGACACCCTGAGTAGACTCTGTGAGGCCAGGTCTGAGCCCTCAGCCAGTGGGCCCACTTACTCCATCTGGCATGTAACCCTCTTCGAGTCCCTTCCACCCCCTTATACCACAGAAAGGGCCCTTTCCTTCTATGGGGTCTGAGAAGCTTCTGGAATAAGGCAGGGCTTGATGAGTGGGGTCTGAAGGCCAGGTCGGATTCTGACTGGCCGAGAAGGGCACCCCAGGACAAGGTAAGTGTGTGGGGTCACGTGCCAGGCTGCAAGAGCGGAGGTGTCCCTGGAGGCCAGGAGAGGGGAGAAAAGAGTTTGCCTAGCAGTATCAAAAGCACTCAAGCGGGGCTCTGATTCTTTAGGCACAAATATTACTAGTGGACAGAGTAGTTCATCAAGCCGTTAGAGCTCAGGTGAACACGAGGGTGACCAGCTCATCCAGTTTGCCAGGACTTTCCCAGCCTTAACATCGGACGTCCCACATCCAGTAAAATGCTCAGTCCTCCGCAAACCAGGAGGGTGGATCACCCGAACCCATCGTGACCTCATTCCCCCCCCCAACCCCAATGGCTCCTAGCTGCAGCAGGACCCAGTAGAGCAGAGATTCTTAGCTTGGGTTGCCTACTGGAATCACCTGGGGAGCTTTCAAAGCACTGGAGCCTCAGTCTCTGAGGTTGTGTACATTTGGTATGGGGTATGGCCTGGACTTTGGTGTTTTGTAAGCTCCCAAGTAATTCTAATGTGCAACCAAAGTTGAAAATCTATACAGTAGAAGTTATCAGTGCTTCACAGGTGCTAAGAGGACACAAAGAGATCACACAGGATCTGGTGGCTTAGGCACTGAGGGCTGGCAAGAGGGCTGGGCTGGGAGTATGGAGACTCCGGGGCCTGTGTGAGAGGAGACAGACTGGGTGTCCCAGGCCAGGTGGAAAGAGCGGTGGGAGGGACTGTTGTGCTGGGGGTGGAGCCAGCTATTGGGTGGGAGCCCTCAGGGCCTGCTCATTGCCGGGTTCTGGTTCTGTCCTGTGCAGTAAAGCTCTGGTTTGGGTAACTTTGGATTTTCCCTTTGGAGCTTGGGACCAAGGAAAGCAGAGAGCCTGGGGGAGTCAGAACTCTGGACTCCAGCCCCAGCTCATGGGCTCTCTACCTACTTTTCCAGCAGACAGTTCCCTCTTCCCTTGCCTGTCCCCCTACCCTAGACCCGGGAAAACATGAAAATGCTTCCAGAGGAGACTATGACCTAAACTTATACACACTTTCTAAAATATTCAGTCCTGGGAGGGGCTGGTCTGGCAGTCCCAAGCCATACTTTGAACACAGCCTTGGGCCCCCTGGGTGAGAGGCATTTCCTATGCTCTGGTTGAGGGGGTAGGAGTCTTTGGGCAATGGGGATCTTGACTTAAAAAAAAAAAAAGTACAACGTGAGAGCTGCTAGTTAAGTTTTATTTGGGGCAAAATAAGGACTGCAGCCCCGGGGGGACAGCGTTTCAGATAACTCTGAGAAATTGCTCTGAGGAGGGGAGGGGGAGCCAGGATATATAGGAGTTTGGCAACAAAGGACAGGCTGTCAGGACATCAAAAGATTATTGTTAAAGAAAACCAGATATCTCAAGGAATTTAGCGCTTTTCTATGTATGGGAAAATGCAAGAGTCTTGACTCACTGAAATCATTCATTTGCTGTGCACCTCAGTTATCTGGGGCCAGTAGCCTGACACATCCTGGGTTTCCTCAGGGTTCACCACAGGGAGTGGCTGCAGTCTGATGGCTGCTAGGTGGCAGGTGTTCTTTTCAGCCCTGAGTTTCCTCAGCTCACGTTGGAGGGCTGCAGTCGTTGACAACTGTGACAATCCTTTGTTTATTGATATGGCAGGAAATAGTCCATTTCTCAGGGAGACAGGAGGAGGAGGAAGTTGAATTTTGGCAGTGGCACCCACACGGACTGCTTTAATCCCACCAAAGGCCCGTCATGGCCCTCAGAATGAAATCAACAAGACCTTCAAATCCCAGCTCTGCCCACTGACTTCTCCAGCCCTCTGTGGCCTCCCCTTCTCCCAGTCATTCTGAAATTCACTGGGTCCTTGAACACAGTATTTTTCAAATGTAGGTCAAGAGCCACTAGGGGGTCTTAAAATTAATTTATTGTAATGAGTTGAGAGTAGCAAAGGGTAAAAGGAAAAAGTAGGCAGAACTAGAACGGAGTAGAAAACATCCATCACAAAGGTAAGTCAGACTTTTGTTCTGTTTGTGCACAAGGGAGCATGTGTGCAAATTATAATGTACAGTATTTCTTGCTGTAGAGCAGGTAGAAGTCTTTGCACATTGCAATCCCTTTTTGGGAGTAAGATTCTGTCTAGAAGGGCCTTCTTGGCAGGTCTTCCTTTGGACTGAATTATTCGCGCTCTGCAATTGCCGTAGCATGCTATACTTTTTGTGCGCCGAGCACACTTTAAAAAAATGATTTATTCAGTTGCCTGTCTTCTGCGCTTGCTGCAAGCTCGATGAGGGCAGGGACCATGTTCACCTATCCTGGCCTCTGTCATTAGAGAAAGCACTTGTGTTGAGTGGCTGAGTGATAAACCCGGGTTCAGGTTCCAGCTCTTTGTGTTCTTAGACAAGGTCTCTTTATTTTTTCTGATTTTTTTGTCTGATTTATATACAGAAAACTTGAAAGAATAGAATAATGAACACCCTATATATCCTCCACTTAGATGGACAGTATTAACATTTTTCCATATTTGCTTTCTATCTATATGCTTTTTTTCTGAATCATTTGAAAGTAAGCTCAGATATAACCTTCACCCTAAATACTATGGCATGTGTCTCCTAAGAGTAAGGTCATTCTCCTACATAATCGCAACACTATTAACATACCTAAGAAAAATAATTTAATTCCATAATACCATCTAAAATGGACTCTGTATTTAGATTTTCCCTAGTTGCCCCAAGAATGTGTTTTATAGTTAGATTATTTCAAATCAGAAAAAAAATCAAGGGTCACATTACATTTGGCTTTATATCTCTTTAGTTTCTTTTAATCTAGAATAGTTCCACTTTTTTTTTTTTAATGACAGTGACTTTTGGAGGAGTCAAGAAGAGTTATCCTTTATAATTTTCTACAAAATTGATTTCCTTGTTTTACTCCGGTGGTATTTAGCTTCCTTCTCACCCCCCTGTATTTCCTCTTAACTGAAAAGAGGTTTAGAGGCCTGATGACACATTTTTGGCAAGAATACCTCACAGGTGAGGTCTCCTTCATACTGCTATCACCTCAAGAGGCACATGATGTCAGATTATTCCACCCCAAGTAGTGCTGTTTGTTCACTTGTTTAAGGTAGTGACTGCTAGATTTCTCCTATGTAAAGATATGTTTTCCTTTTGCAGTTAGTAATTTGTGAGGACGATAAACTCCAGCACCATGTGAAGAATCTGTTCCTCTACAGCCTAATGTTTTTAGTAATCATCCATGATCCTTTAGCAACCATCCACGTGATAGTTTGGGCATGTTCTTAACTTGAGACTCAGTTTTTTCATCTGCAGCCTGGGCATAATAATGCCCATGATTTGGATTTCATGTGTAAAAAAGTATGACGATGCTGTCACGGTCTGCCGTAACTTCTCCCTTCTTCTGAGGACACCTTTTAGAAAGGTGTTCTAAAGGTGTTCACTTCCTTTTAGAAAGTTTGTACGCTGCTCCAGATAAGTGGTCCAAATCGTCGGCTTCTTAGATGATCCTACCTGCCTGGCCTCTGTGGGGCACAGCTGAGTCATCTTCTTTGGCCAGAGTGGAATGAGCTTTTGACCAGAGCTGAGCCAATCAGAATGCTTCCCTGGGAAATTTCCAACCAAGTAGGGGTGGGAATACGGTGAAGAAGATATTCTTTTTCCCTCAGGTGGCTAAATGTGAGGATGTGAGTCTGGAAGTTGATGTCCCCTGCCGCCTGGAGGATGATAGCCTATGGGGTGGAGGGGATCAAAGCCTCTGAGATCAGGGCAGAGGGGGTCTCCCTGGCCTGGCTCCAGGCCTCCCCAGCTGTACTCTGCCCTGCCCCAGCTAAGCCAATAAAGACCCTGTCTTGCCTGAGCGCTTACAAATCTGCGTCTGAACCTTAGGACAGATAGAATCCTGACTAGTAAAAGGGCCTTTGCTATGCCTCTCCCATGATAGGTGATTCAATAACTTAATGGTTCATCAACTCTCAGCCCTTCCTGTTGTCTTTGAATATGTGCTGGCCCTAGTGAAGAGGTGTGAGGAGGTGGCAGACATGGTCCTGGCTTTTTAAAATCTTAGGAGTTACAAATGCGTTTCCTTGGTGGGCGTAGACTCAAAGCAAGGGGGGGCTGGTGATTTATCCGGCTCCAAGTGTGGCCGCTCTTGCCACTCGAACCGGCCCCCCAGCCCCACCCCCAGGGCCAGGAGCCAGAGTGCCTCTCTTGGAAGAGCCTAAGTTTAAAAGTTTAAAACCAGCCCACGTGGTGAGAGGTGCAGTCAGCCTTAAGACGCGAGTGCAGAGAAGAGCGGAGGAATGTGAGGGCCAGGGGCGGAGGGGGGGGGGCCTGAAGGCGATCAGAACGCATGCGCAGGGCAAGGGCGAGGAAGGGCCTGGGAGTGGGGGAGGGGGGTGAGCGAGGGTCTTGGGGAAGGGGAGCGAACTGGCAGGGCCTTGGGTAGTCAGGAAACTCTGGCTTCTTCCAGGCTCGCGGTCCAGGCTGCTGTTTGTGTAGCGCTGCCTCTCTGCGGAGTCCACAGCGAAGTGTCTTCCAGGCACTTCCAGCCATCTCACGGGGGGAGTTACTATTATCTTTCCCGTTTCACAGATGAGAAAACTGATACCCAGGAAGGAGAAGTAACTCACCCAAGGTCATCCTGCTGGTGATGGCAGAGCTGGAATCCGAATTCAGATCCGCGGACTTAAGGTTGCTCCAGCCCCCACTCTGTTCCGGGACTGCGGACCACCCCGGAGGCCAGGTTCCCCCAGCCGAGGGCCAGGTGAGCGGCGGGCGGCGGCGGGCCGAGAGGTGAGAACCCCCGCCCTCCCCTGCAGGGCCCCGAGGGCTCGGTGGGCTCTGCCGGGAGACGGAGCAGACCCTCGCCGGGCCTCGGGGGCCAACGGAAGGTCCGGACCGCGGGCCGCCTGGAGGGAAGCCCCGCCCGGGAGACCGGGAGACTGGGAGACCCCAACGGTGCCTCGGCAGAGGGACGGGAAACAGTGGGGGGGCGGGGCGGTGGCGAGCGGAGGTGGAGTCACGGGTTGGGAGGGGGAGGGCGAGGAAGAGGAAGAGGCCCCCCAAACCCCAAACATTACCGGCCGGCTGTTGGGACCCGCGGGGCTGGATCTGGGGGCTGATGGCCAGGTCAGCACCCATCTTTGGGTCTGGAAAATGTCACTGGGGCTTTGGGGCCACGGAAGGGTGGAGGGTGGTCAGCAGGAAGGAACCTCTGACGGAACCTAAGCTAGTCTGCAGCCCAAGTAGCCTCAAATTACTGGCGGGAAAAGTGGGGAGTGAGGCTCCTCGCGGCCCAGACGGTTCTCTCCTGGTCTCTTCCCGGTCCAGCCTGAGATGCGCTCTATGTTGCTCCTCTCGTTCTTCGCCCTGTGTAGTCCTCAGCTGTCCCTGGCATGCTCAGGGCCTGGGCCGGTGACAGGGCTGCCCTCGAGCTGCGGCGCGATGGCTCAGGGAGACCTTGCCAGCGGGAACCCGGGCCCCACGGAGCATGCAGCTCTTCTACTTTACAGTGCCATAGGTCCTTTTCAAAATAATAATGAAAACAATTGGTGATAGTAGATGGCAGTAGTTTTGCTTTGTTTTGAATGCCCTTGGCAAAGTAAAAAGTTGGTAGTTTTCTGTTCCCCCCATTCTCTCTCCCTGACCCCCACTTTTGGGAATCCCGAACTGAACTGCTGGCCAGTGGCGACTGGTGAAGAGGTGAGGAGGGAGGGGCAGCTGTGCAGGACTGTGGTCCCTGCCTCCACTCTGACTGAGCCTGGGATCCTGGACCAGTCCATTCTTCTTTCCAGCTGTTTCCCCATCAGTACAAAGGGTTCTCCAAATCCCCCTTTACATGAACATGTCTATGGTCCTTTGAGTCTGGCTCATATCAGTGTGTCCCCGAATTGTATATCCCTGGTGCACAGTCGTCCAGATCCAGCACTGAGGGCTGCTCCATGCAGGACGCTGGCCTATCCCCGGAGAAAGGCCCACAAGGTCCCCCTCACTGGAGAGCAGCCTGGGGTGGGCAAGGGGACAGACAGCTAGGAGGTGGCGCCTGGCCTCTCAGTCGCCCCAGGGGGGGGAGGGGGGGAGGGAAAACGCTGTCCCGCGTGACAAGTTTATGTGTCTCTTCTCCCCAGTAGTTACCAAGAGCCTGCGAGTTCCTGTCTTTTTTCATCCCTGATTCTCCCCAGTGGCCTAAGCTGGGCATGGGGCGCCCAGTAAGTACACAGTTCACTTTTGTGGAATGAATGGTTAATGGCTGGTGGCTGGGAGGGTCCATGGAGTGGACAGGACCAAGGTGAGCTTTGCAGAAGTCGTGAGATTTAAAAGGTCTAGAGGTGAAGTGAGGGCACCGCACCCCCCTCCCCCCGGGAAAGGCTGGAGGTGCTTGGGGTGACTATGGTGTTCTGGGAATGGAGGGAGACATGGCGGGTGTGGAGGCAAGAGGCTGGGTGCGTGGGAAACCTTATGAAAGAAAAGCTGAGAAGGTGAGGAATGCTGAGGAGGTGGAAGTGTGGGAGAAATGGAGAAGCCGGCAGGAGCTCCAGGCTAGAGCGTGGGGGAAGGAGAGGGTGACTAAAATAGGGAAGACACCGAGCTCAGCTTTAGACACGTTGAGGTTCATTGGGGGGGCGGGGGGGGCAGGAAGGGGCTCAGACCATCAACGGAAAATGTCCAGGGTTCTCCATTCCATCCAGAGGATGGGGGTCAAGATGCCGCCATGACTCCTACCTGGAGAGCTTTAGAGCCAGGACTCAAGGCTCTCTGGTCTTCATCCTCTTAGAGTAGAGGACACCGAGGCCCTGAAGTTCAGGTGACTCACCAGTACTGGCCAGAGGGTGGAGGGAAGATCGAAAGGGAAGCTTTGCAGAGACGGCAGGATAAATTTTTCAGGGGGGAAGACCTGAAGAAAAGGAAGTAATGAACAACAGAAAGAGGAGAGAGTGCTTTAGAAAGTTTCCAAGCACTCTGACAGCAGTCGGAGGTTAACAGCTGTTAACCCTTTTATAGACAGCAGATTTTCTCTGCCCTCTACCATCAGGCTTGTTCTGCTGTGGTGATCAGCAGATCTCAAAGCCTCAGACACTCCTTGCCCCCGGCTGCAGTGAGAGGGGCATCCGCATGGGGAGCGTGGAGGGGCCCCAGTGCGTGGGCACACACAGGGGCGGAGAGGAGAGGGAAACCCCTCACTCCGAGGGCCTTGTCTTGTGCACAGCAGTGCGCAGCTGCGAAGCTTGGTGCTGCCAGGCTGTCTGCTTAGGCAGGAGCCTCCAGGCCTGGCTCTGGGCATGACTTGGAAAGAAGGGCTGTTGTCTTGGGGTGTCCACCAACTCCCATGTCCTGTCTCTCACCCCCTGATGTCGCCATTCTGCACCGCCATGTGGCCAGGGTCATTGGGGGCCACCCGGACAGGGCCCGCCCTGCCTGCCGCACCCAGGCTTCCAACCGCCCCTCTCCTTCCCCTGCCAGCCTGGAGAGGAAAGCAGACTAGTTGAATACATTTGCCCTTGGGTGGTGGATGTGAATTTCCCTCAGGAATGTTTGCATTTTAGGAGAAGTTGGCGGCCCCTCACCCTCCAAGTTTAACCAAACGCCTGGGCCCTAAGCACTGTGCTTGACATGTCTTTGGCAGCATTTCACTTGGCCCTGGCAAGGACCTTACTAGGCAGGTGTTATTTCCTCTTTTTTCCAAATGGGGACCCAAGATCCTGAGAGTTTTAGCCAGTTCCCCGAGGTTACCCAGCCAGCAAGTGATAAAGCTGGGACACAGTCACGGGCGTCCAGAACCAAATCCAGCTGTTGGCACTTAGCTTCCACATCCCAGGTGCTCCTTCCAAGAAGACATCCTTAATGACAGCTGGTGGTGATGGAGAAGTTATGAGGGATCCTTAACTGAGGGTCTTGACCTCCAGGCCTAGAGGGTACCTAGGGCTTCAGGAGGGTCTTGAAACTCTAAAACTATTTTTAAAACTTTCTGTGAGCATATTTTCTGCTCATTTTTCAGCAGAGGGCTCCTCCAGGCCAGGTGGACCCCTGTCCGTCTATACCCCAGGTCCTGAGAAAAGGCCAGTCACTGAGTAAAGGCACTTCAGGCCCTGGTTTTAATCTCTGCCCTGGTCCTCATTCTGAAATCTCAAAAGGCACATAGTAGCTGACAGCTGACTGGAGAGGTTCTTCTGTGGCTAGTGGGTGGGTGTCAACAGAACTGAGAGGTTAGAACTTTAGAGCTGGGAGAGGTGGAAATTTTACAGAGGTGGAAATTGAGGCTCAAAGAAGGGACCCCACACGCTCAAGATTGCCTAGTGAATTAGTGGAAGATAATGTTTTATGCATTGTTTAGGCCTACTGAAGAGGTCTGTAAGGCTGTAAGTTTAATCAAGGCAAAGAAATCAACATTTCTCGAGCCTCACGTGTGCTAACATGTCCATGGGCATCATCTCCTTCACCCCGTGCTGCGTGAGGACCCCCCCGCTTCATTGTTCCCCTCCACAGGTGATGCTGACATTAGAGGACAAAGACATGAAGGGGTTCACCTGGGCCATAGCCCCTGCCTTGACCTCCCTGGGCTACCTGCTTATACTGCTGGTCTCCATCTTCCCCTTCTGGGTTCGTCTGGTGAACGAGGAGTCCCAGGAAGTGTTTTTCAGTGGCCTCTTTGAGAACTGCTTCCATATCAAGTGCTGGAAGCCACGACCCTTACCCGGTACGGGGGGATGGAGGCGGGGATGGGGGCTTGGGAGACGGGACCAGCGTGGGCATTGGGGGGTGACAGAGGACTGGTGGGGGCAGCTAGGACAGAACTGAATTCGCCCCTGCCTTCTCCTCACTAGAGTCCATTAGCGCCCCCCCGCCGCTAGTTGTGATGCCCACCGTTACCTCCTGGGATTGTCAGACATCCCCTGTGGGGGCAGTACTGCCCTTACTAGAGAACCCCTGGTTTAACCCCAGGGTAGGTTCTAGAATATCTGGGTCTTCAACACCTTTGTCTCTTTGTCCCTCCCCCAGCCGCTCACCTCTGCACGCTCAGGAGGTCATACAGACTCACCTTAACAAGGTCTGAATCATGCCAATACTAGGAGAATGAATTCCCCTCGATCCTCGGTCTGTTTCACTACTCCTGTTAATGTGGATAATTAAATAGGGGCTCCCTTGCAGAGTTCAGAATATCCTGACCTCACAGAGTTCTGATTTTCCACCAGTGACTATTTCAGTGTGACCAATGTGGATGCAATTCTTCACATTTCCACATGCAACAAATTTTATCACGACAGTTTCATTTTATGTTGTTTATTAAAGCCACCGTTTTTTCCCAAACAATACATGGTTTTCCCCTACGCTTTGATACAACCAGATTCATGTAACAGTATTTGTTAAGAATTGGTTAATAATTTCAGTGTCTGAAATTGCCCATCTAACTTTTTTTTCATGTCATGGGGAACAAGATGGTGGGCCCAGGGCATGCTTGGGGGCAAAGCAGTCGGGTCGGAGCCTTGGTCCCAGGCCACGCTTTGGGACCTGATGGTGACCCGGCTCTGGGGCCACCCCTGCCCAGGCTCTGCAGGGCTCTGCCCTCTGGGCCAGGGTGCCCGGCGCCAGCCAGCTCTCCCTCCCTCCCCTGCAGTTTACATCATCGTGGGCCGTGTTTTCCTGCTGTCCGCCGTCATCTTGTCTTTCCTCACCACTGTCGTCATGGTGTCCTTTGCATCTCGGCTCTTTCCGAGGACCCGGAAGCACAATCTCGTGTCAGCCTTCATCAGCTTCCTCACAGGTGGGGAGCAGCAGGCGGGCCCCAGCCTTGTGGGTGGGGGATCTGGGGAGACGGCCGGAGATGGGGGGCGGGTGGTCTCTGGAGAGGGGATTTTTAGGGCCCCTCTCCTCCACTGCCCTCTCAATGAAGTAGCCCACCCCAACCCGCCCCCTCAGGGTTTGTGATCCCCCTGCTTTGGGGCTCATCCTAACTGCACTCCCAGCGGACACTGTCCTCACAGCCTTGGCTTGGTGTCATCTGTCTGGGGGTCTTTTCCCCATAATCTCTGTCCCAGCAACTGTCATAGTATCTGGTACAGGGTTATAATAGAATTGAAATATAGAATATAAATGAAATACAAATGTTTCTTGGATGAATGAATGGAAGAGATCATCTCTGCCCTCTGGAACCTTTTGACTTTAAAAGGCTGACCAAGGCCCTACCCTGGGAGGCTCCCATCAGATGGAGGAGGTGGAACGCTCACAGTGGGAAAATCAGGTTGAGTTTCGTCCAAAGCGTCACACCCAGGGGGCCCCATCGGGAGTCAGCCAAGAGCACAGGCACAGAGGGTACCCGGGAAGGGGATTTCTGATCATGGGGCCCCTGGGAGGTGAGGCACATGGGCTTTGAGATGAGTTGGGAAGGAGGGCGAGACAGGCATGTGGGGTGGAGGTTATTGGCTCTGAAGGGGCAAGGGTGCGGGCAGGAGCCACACAGGTGTAGGAAGGCTGGAGTGGAGGTGGGAGCCACAGGAGGAGAGCAAGGCTGCCACCCTGTGACCCACAGGGGCCTGTGCCTTCCTGGCCTTGTTGCTGCATGCCCTGGAGATCCGGAGTCTGCGGATGAAGCCCAGCCCCCCGCAGTTCTTTGTGCAGTGGCCTTACTACGTCCTGGGCTTTAGCATCCTTCTGTTCCTAGTGGCTGGTGAGTGTCCCAGGGCTGGTGCCCTCTCCCTGCCCTCTGTCTGGATTCAGGAGCTGTGGACGCTCTAGAGCTGTGCTGTTCAAAACCGTATTCACTTGTGGCTATTTAATTAAAATGAAATCAAGTTAGAAATTGAGTTCCTCAGTCACGCCAGCCACACTTCACATGTTCAAAAACCACATTATTATGTGCCTAGTGGCTTCCACATTAGACGGTGCGGATGCAGAAGTTTCTACTGGACAGCACTGCTCTAGGGCCTCAGCCATGTCTGCCACCCTCGTCCTCCCCATTCTTATGCTCCTTGACTTTAGAACCAAACTTGCACACTTTCATACTCTCCCTTACCACCATCCCAGTTCCTAAGGCTTTCTATTCCTGTCTCTTTATCTTGAAATCTGTGATCTTATTCCTCAGTCGCTTTTTCTTTACCAACCGTCATCATCGAAATTCTTAATCCCATCTAATTGTGTCCCTACTCCTAATCTTCCCACTATTTTAACCTGATCCATGATCAGAACCTATTTTAACTTGATTTTATTATACATTAAATATATAACAAAGAATGTTTATAGTATATCTGTAAGATACAAATAATTATAAATAAACTGTACACCCATATTTCCACCATATAGCTTAAGAACTAGCCACGTTTTGTTGAATCCATCGTTTTTAAGTTACACCCTTATTTTATGTACCACTGAGAAAGAAAAATTGATACCAAGTATAATTCTAAGGTGCTAGAGCTTGTAAGGTACATCCTCATTTCAGAGATTTTAAAATGTGAAAAAAAATGGGTTTGTCAAAATTAACGAAACATATTAGAACATTAAGTATTCAGTATCTTTGAAGTCTTCCCCCCTCTGCCATGTGGCTGTTCCTGGTCACTTCCTCTTCTTTCCCCTCTGGATTCAATTCTTCAGAAATTTATGCCAATCATGTTTACTACACATATATATCCTTAAACAATGTATTATTTAGTTTTGCATGCTTTAAAACTTTATATGAATATAATCAAACTATATTTTTTCTTCTGGAGTTTGCTATGTTTGATCAGCATAATCTTGAGATTCCTCCATGTTAATATGAGAAACTAAGCTTCATTCATTTTTACCACCTTGAGTATTTAATTGTATAACTAAGCTTTCCTATAGAAGCATGGCATTTCTCTATGGGAGAATTTTAAGTTTATGACTGAGTTTCTTTCATGATTATAGGACTATTCAGATATTTTATTTCTTCTTGAGTCAGTTTTGGTAATTTATATATTTCTCTAAGTTTATACAATTTATCTAAGTTTTAAATTTTATTGACATAAAATTACTCAATGTTTTCTGTTGTAACTTTTAATTTGTGCTGTATCTGTAGTTATGTACGTAAAAAAATTTTTTTTGGCTGCGTTGCATCTTCATTGCTGCGCGCGGGCTTTCTCTAGTTGTGGTGAGAGGGGGCTACCCTTCGTTGTGGTGCGCGGGCTTCTCATTGCGGTGGCTTCTCTTGTTGTGGAGCATGGGGTCTAGGTGCGCGAGCTTCAGTAGTTGCAGCACGGGGGCTTCAGTAGTTGGGGCTTGCGGACTCTAGTGCGCAGGCTCAGTAGTTGTGGCGCATGGGCTTAGTTGCTCAGTGGCATGTGGGATCCTCCCGGACCAGGGATCGAACCGTGTCCCCTGCACTGGCAGGTGGATTCTTAACCACTGCGCCACCAGGGAGGTCGCTGTAGTTATGTACTTTTTTCACACCTAATTTTCTCTTTTTTCATTACTATGTTTGTTAGAGGTTTATCAGGTTTTTTTTAGTGTTTTCAAAAAACCAGCTTCTTAGCTTTCTTGAAAACAAACCTTGTTTGTTTTCTATTTAATTACTTTTTGCTTCTTATTTTGAACTTCCTTCCCTACTACTTTTTTGTGTATTTATTCTGCTGTCCCTTTTTCAGCTTCCTAAATCAGGATCTAATCTCATTGATTATTTCTTCTTTTCTAAGTAGGCATTTAAAGCTTCAGCTGCCCTCTAAGAATTGCATCTTTATTTGCAGCTCTCATTTTGATGTGTAATATCTTTTGTTGTTGTTCGATTTCAGATATTTTCTTGTTCCCCTTATGATTTTTTCTTTGATCCGTGAATTATTTAAAAATATACTTTTAAATTTCTAAGCATAGAATTTTTATTGTATCTTAGTGATAATGATTTTAACTTAGTTTCAATTTGATGAGAGATCATGGTTTATATAGTCCTAATATTTTCAGATTTATTGACTTGCTTTATAGCCTAGTCTGAGGTCCGTTTTCATGTCTCATGGTGAATGCAACCTTTTATCTATAAACATTACATCAAGCTTTTTTATTATCTTGTTTAAACCTTGATTTAGAATTGCTATATTTTACTAGTGGATTGAACTTTTTATCATCATGCTGTGATACTTTTTATTTCTTATAATGCTTTTTGTTGTAAAGTCTGTTTTATCTGATATTACTATAACTACCTCTACATTCTTTAGGTTATTATTTGCCTGTTACGTCTTTTACTTTAAACCTGTCTCTGTCTTCACGTTTTGGATGTCTCTTATAGATAACTTATGACTGGATTTTTTTCATCTAGTCTTATTATAACCTTTGTCTGGAGCATTTAGTTGATTTACGTTTATTGTGACTACTGATATATTTGTATTTTTTCGACCACCTTAGTTTGTGCTTTCAGTTTTTTCTGCTCCCCACCCTCTACCTCACTTGCCTTGCTTTGGGTTGATTGAATTTTATGTATATAATTCTCATTACATTTCCTCCCTCGTTAGTTTGGAAATTATACGGTCTGTTTTCATTTGTGTCATAGTTACTCTTGCCATTTTAACATGCTTAGTTAATCAGCATATTTATTCTCTTCATAAATAATTCAAGGCCCCTCCCCCCCAACTTATATGGTATTTTGTCCAGTGTTTTGGTTTCTTCTGTTTTTTAAAAATATTCTATACATTATTATTATTATTTTATGCATTTAATACTTGTTTAAATTTACCCACATATTTACCAATTTAGCTGCTCATCAAACCTCAGACCTTCTATCTAAGATCATTATCCTGAAGTACATCCTTTATAATGATTTTTTTATAACTTTTTATTTTATATTGGAGTATAGTTGATTAACAATGTTGTGTTTCAGGTGTACAGCAAAGTGATTCATTTATACATGTATCTATTCTTTTTCAAATTCTTTTCCCATTTAGATTGTTACATAATATTGAGCAGAGTTCCCTGTACTATACAGTAGGTCCTTGTTGGTTATCCATTTTAGATATAGCAGTGTGTACCTGTCAATCCTAAACTCCCTAACTATCCCTCCCTCAACCCTTCCCTCCTGGTAACCATAAGTTTGTTCTCTAAGTCTGTGAGTCTGTTTCTGTTTTGTAAATAAGTTCATTTATATCATTTTTTTAATAATGATAATGATGATGACTCTACTTTTGACAATTAATGTATTTTATTTATTTATTTATTTATTTATGGCTGTGTTGGGTCTTCGTTTCTGTGTGAGGGCTTTCTCTAGTTGCAGCAAGCAGGGGCCACTCTTCATTGGGATGCGCGGGCCTCTCACTACCACGGCCTCTCTTGTTGAGGAGCACAGGCTCCAGACGCGCAGGCTCAGTAGTTGCGGCTCACGGGCCTAGTTGCTCCGCGGCATGTGGGATCTTCCCAGACCAGGGCTTGAACCCGTATCCCCTGCATTAGCAGGCAGATTCTCAACCACTGTGCCACCAGGGAAGCCCTCATTTTTTTTTTTTTTGCCTTTTTATTTTTTTTTCGGTACGCGGGCCTCTCACTGCTGTGGCCTCTCCCGTTGCGGAGCACAGGCTCCGGATGCGCAGGCTTAGCGGCCATGGCTCACGGGCCCAGCCGCTCCGCGGCGTGTGGGATCTTCCCGGACTGGGGCCCGAACCCGTGTCCCCTGCATTGGCAGGCGGACCCCCAACCACTGCGCCACCAGGGAAGCCCTTTTTTGCCTTTTTTAATGAGGGTCAGTTAGAGATACACTGTCTCATATTTTGTTTGTATGAAATTATCTTTCATTTTTGTTTATTAAAGTTAGTTTTGCTGAATATACATTTTGAAGTTAACAGTTATTCTCTCAGCATTCAAGATATTATTCTATTACTTTCCCACTTCTATTCTTATTGTTGAGAAGTTGGCTCTCTTTAAAAATATCATTCTTTTTGAGGCAACTTTTTTTTCTCTGAGACTTTTTTTGGTATTTTGCAGAGTATGGATGTTTGTGTTATGATTTGATGTGTGAACTGAAGCTGAGGAGTGATATCTTTCAGCATTTGTAAAAATTTTTATCTCCTCTCCATTTTCTTTCCCTTTCTTTTTGTCCTTTTTGGAACTCCAGGAAGATTTCTGTTAGACCTTGTTACTCTATCCTGCATGTCTTAATTTCTCTTTCATATTTTCTGTCTTTGTCTTTCTGGGCTGCATTGTGAATACCTTATATAGATGTATCTTCAAGTTTACCCATTCACTTTTTTAAAGAAGATTTATTTATTATTATCATTATTTTTTAAATGTATTTTTGGCTGCATTGGGTCTTAGTTGTGGCACGCAGGCTTCTCTATAGTTGTGGCATGTGGGTTTTCTCTTCTCTAGTTGTGGCGCACAGGCTCCAGGGTGTGTGGGCTCTATAGTTGTAGTGCACCGGTTCCAGAGCCGTGGGCTCTGTGGTTTGCTGCACGCGGGCTCTAGTTGAGGCACGCGAGCTCAGTAGTTGTGGCATGCAGGCTTGGTTGCCCCACGGCATGTGGGATCTTAGTTCCCTGAGCAGGGATCAAACCCACGTCCCCTGCATTGCAAGGTGGATTCTTTACCACTGGACCACCAGGGAAGTCCCTACCCATTCACTTTTTAGCTGTGTCTGGTCTATTTAACCTAGCCGTTAAATTTTTATTTCAGTTAATCTATTTTATAACTAGAAGTTGTATTTTCCTGTAAATCTTGTTACTTTTATGCTTTTTTCCTCATATTTAAAATATGTTCTCTGAATATATATATATATATATATATATTTTTTTTTTGCGGTACGTGGGCCTCTCACTGTTGTGGCCCCTCCCGCCGTGGAGCACAGGCTCCGGACGCACAGGCCCAACGGCCATGGCTCACTGGCCCAGCCGCTCCGCGGCACACGGGATCCTCCCGGACCGGGGCACGAACCCGTGTCCCCTGCATTGGCAGGTGGACTCCCAACCACTGCGCCACCAGGGAAGCCCTCTGAATATATTTTTATTATACATGTTAAACATACTTATTTTATATTCTGTGTCTTATAAGTTTAACAACTGAATTATTTGCTGCTGTTTCTACAGCTGTTTCTATAGGCTCTTGCTGTGGTACCTTGTTTCTTGGTATGGTCTGTGGATTTTGACTGTGAACTCATTTTCCTTGGAAAATTTTTTTGTTGTCATTGTTGGAAATTATTTGAGGCCTATATTTAAATTGTTTCCTCAAAAAAGGATTTGCATTTGCCCGGTGCTTGGGTGCAGAACTACCCTAGGATCACAACCAAAATACTTAGGTATTGTTAGTTTAGCTGCAGACCCACATAAGAGCTAGCCTGTGTTTGTGAAATCTCAGTCAATGCAGGTAACTTTGCAGTTCCAGTTTCATGTGGCCGACTCTTATTAGATTTCCCCACTGTAAGCAGGACCTGGGCTTTCCTGTTATTTTTCCGTGTCCCAAAAGCCCAGCAGAATGGAAACTCAGGGTCACCTGGGTTGAGCGCGTGTCTCCAAGGTGAAGGCTAATTGTGTGGTTGCCTAACCCTTCAGATTCCTGTTATCACTATGGTTTTGGCGTCTAAGAATATCTTACTCTGATGTCAGCTCGATGATTCATTTATAAATAATAGGTTTTTGAAGAAATATTTAGAATTTTTGTTGTGTTTAGTGGGAGAGTAGCTAGTCTGCTATAAAGCTGAAAATAGTTGTCTTTTATCTTTGTCTTAGCCGTAATACAGCATTTATTATCCACTCAAGATATCTCCGTTTGTTCTTATGAACATTGATTCTCTTCTTCCTTCCTTTCACTTACTGAGGGTCTTGAGTGAGGTGGCCATGAAGAGGCCTGGGCTTTGTGTTTGACCTTCCTCTCTGAAACCTTGTTTTCTTACCTATTAATGGTTAGACAATTGCTAAGATGCCTTCCAGCACTGGCCACGGTTCCATGAGTTTATCCATCTATTTGTATGCCTTGTCCTTTTATTGGAGGGGAGAACTAGGAGGGCAGGTGCAGACCAGAGGGAATCAGGTCAGAGGAGGGAGTTTCCGACCTCTAGGGCAGGCACTGAGCTTGACACTCTCTCTCACCTGACCCAAACTTTTGCTGTCACCCAGGTGCCATCTGCCTCGTTCAAGAAACAGCCTGCCTTAGCTGTCATTTGTTGCCCATTTCCCAGAGTACTGAGGAGACCCAAGAGATCTCGCATCTGGAAAGTGGAGAGTTTGGGAGGAGAGCTGAGCTCCATACAGAGGGAGATGCTGCTGAAGGAGGAAACAGTTATCTAGACCAAGATAGTCTGTGCCCTGCCCTTTGTCAAGCTGTGTGAGTGCACACGTGTCACTGTGTTTGGCTCCCCCACCTCCACCAGTCTCTGCTACTTTTGATGAGGCTCTTGAGTGTCAAATCAACCCTCCACTTCCCCTACTCAAAGTGATTCTATCTTGCGTGTGTTTGAAATTTGTTAAAAGTTTTCTGAATTCTTCTGAGCTTTCTGAGTGATTTTTTTGGACAAGTGTTTTCAATAAAACGATGACTACTGTCTGTTAATCCATGCCTCAAAAAACAAACAGGGGACTTCCCTGGCGGTCCAGTGGTTAAGACTCTGAGCTTCCAGTGCAGGGGGCACAGGTTCGATCCCTGGTTGGGGAACTAAGATCCCACATGCCACACAGCATGGCCAAAAAACAAACAAATGAACAAACAAAACACAACAAAACACCAGCCTGCAGCCTAGAGGGCAGGAAGGGAGGGAGGAATATTAGGAAATGATCAAGTGACATGAGTTTTGTAAAATAAAAACTGAACAGAGTATGACCACCCCACTGTTCCAGCCATGCTGATCTCCCAGTTGTGGCTTTCCATACTCATTCTGCTGGTTTAGGGTGGTCTGGCCCACCGTTACATATTTGAGAGTTTGTAGATTTTCTCTATGCCTACTTCTATATTGTTCCTATAGGGTTTTGTGAGGTGGAAAAGTGAAAAGACTGGAACTAGGCTGTCATCATCTCCCTATAAGAAAGAAACTCCCAAGATACCTTTTGGAGAGAAATGTAATAAAAAACTAAAAACAATCTAACTAAAATACCTAGTGCCTGTTCTTCAGGTGTGTATGTCCAACATAGGTAAAATCAGAGTCCCTGAGGAAGAAAGTGGAAATAAAGGAACAGAACAAGTATTTAAAACTAAAATTCAGAAAACTTTACTGAAATAAAGTTCCTTTCTATTGAAAAGGAATCTATTGGAAGGAGTAACATCTGCTTAGGAAAACTGATACGAGATGATCAACCCCTTCCATCATGGGGCAATGCTTTATTATTATTATTATTATTTACTGGAATAGACACTCTGGAACAAAGCATGGCCCCATTGTGGAAGGCCTAGAGCCTCTTCCTTTATGCACAAATACTGGCATACTATGCAAAATTACTAGACATGAAGAAATGTGACCGACAAGAGAATAAACAACCAATAGAAGCAGATGACAGAATGATCCAAATATTGGATTTCGCAGATACACACTTTAAAATAACTATTATTAAGATATTATTAATGTGTTAACTAAATTTTAAAAATTTTAAAAATTTCAAAAAATGGAGAACACTCTACCGGAATGCCATTTCTCCCCGTGAGATTTGCAAGAATCAAAAGTTTGATGCAACACGTTGTGTTGGCTAACCTGTGGGGAAATAGGCACCATCATGCGTGGCAGATGGAAGTGCAAAATGATACAGCCCTCCTGAGGGGAATCTGGCAATACCTACAAAACCGCAGAAGCAGTAATGCTTTAACCCAAACCAAAGTCTCAATTTAAGGATTTATCCAACAGGTATACCTGCACACATCTTTAAGAATGACATAGGTGCAGGGCGATTAAGTGCTGCAGCTTTTACAGTAACAAATGATTAGGAGCAACTCAAATGCTCATCAACAGGGGACACTTTAAATAAATTATGTTACATCCACACCAGCTTAAAAAAAAAAGAATGAGAAAGGTCTCTAAGTACTGATATGGAATGTTTTCATGATAGGACATATTCATGATAAAAAGCAAGGTATCTAGTATATTTCCTTTCGTGTAAGAAAAGGGGAGAAGGTAGGGACATATGTGAATATTAGTGTTTGCAAATAAATAAACACTTGAAGACCGTATAATAAATGAATGAATCTTTAGAGATGGGGGTAGATTAAGAAAGGGGGTGGAGGCTTCCCTGGTGGCACAGTGGTTGAGAATCCGCCTGCCAATGCAGGGGACATGGGTTCGAGCCCTGGTCCAGGAAGATCCACATGCCGTAGAGCCTGTGTGCCCGTGCGCCACAACTACTGAGCCTGCGCTCTAGAGCCTGCGAGCCACAACTACTGAGCCCACGTGCTGCAACTACTGAAGTCCGTGCGCCTAGAGCCTGTGCTCTGCAACAAGAGAAGCCACTGCGGGCTTCCCTGGTGGCGCAGTGGTTGAGAGTCCGCCTGCCGATG